ATATTGTTTAAAAAATACCTAATCACACCCAATTACATTCGTGGTAAGTAATAACTTTTTTTATAATTTTAACTAGATTAGCAGGAATGAACAAAGTCCACGAACTTCCATAAATTCACTAGCGTTAAATTTGTTCCCTTTTTTTTATAACTGGAGTTGAAATGTCTAAAGGGCGGCTCGACCGAGTCAAATATGAGATTAAACATTTCACACGAAGCAAATCACGATTTATTTATCAATAGTTGCACGAATTATTATGTAATAATTAAATTATGTTTATGAAAAAAGCATCGAAAAAAGCGAAATAATAAAATTAATTCCCAATATTTAAGCGGTGTGGTGTAACACGAATCGCCCTTTGTGATCTGCTTGATGATAAGATAGTATACGGGGTGCGCCAGAACTCGCGCCCCAGAGAAAAAGGTAAGGTAAGATACCAGGAACATGGAAAAAATTTAAAAAAAAAATATCTATAAAAATTTCGAAGTTATGAGGGTTTAAAGTTTGTACTTTGACTCTATTTATTTCTGTTGGAAAAATAATTTTCCAAGTTATTTTGCTACAGGCTATTATAAGAGGAAACAAGTAAGTTGTATCCTAAATTGTAACTCTGTTTAATGTTATTTGTGGATTTTATTGGCAAATTTTTTGTCTCTTTACTAAAAATCATTGTAAAAAAACATATACAAGATCATCAGTACCATTAAACAGATAAAAAGAAGGTAAATGTCAAATTTTCACAGATAGAATTTTTTAAACATTTTTTTCATGTTCCTGGTATGTTACCTTACTTGAAAATTGATTTCTGGAGCGCGAGTTCTGGCGCACCCATGTATCATTTAGAGTAGAAAACCTTTTTGTACTTCATCCAGTTGCCTCGACTTCACTCGATATTCAATTTCTGGACTTAGCACAAAAAGACTCACTTCTACTCATAATTATATAGGGTCGGTTTATAGAAACGTCATTAAGTTAATTGCAATAAAAGGTCAAATTATCTGATCACGTGACCAAATAGAACCAACCAGATGCTTAGATTCACGGACTAATTGCACATTACCTAACTTTTAACAACAAATTAATTTTTAATTCGCCCTCTATAAACCGACCCATAATCTACTATTTTTATTATAGATGTAACGTTGCCGGTTGTATTCATTATCATTGAATGCGGCGTTAGGGGCTTAACTTTAAGTTAAGAGGGGCCTGTTTGCGTTCGTGTTGATGCAAGGGTATCTTTGGAGACTTCAATACAGATTTAGAGCGATTTTTGGAAAAACTATCAAATGCGTCTTTGAGATAAAATATCAAACTAGAGTTTGACGATATTCCTGATTTCGTATGTTATTGCCTTGGCGAAAAAATTAAAAAACTGTATCCCGGTTTATACACAGCCTCATTTGAAACCTACTCCCGTAAAAATTTTGTAAATTTCTTAGGAAGTTGTCTCAAAGTTCCTCTTAACAACTACGTAACCACAATATCGGTGGTTGTGTGGGGAAAAAGTTTTGACTAGTATCCGGAAGAGGGCAGGTCAAAATTTGGATTGTTAAATAAATTTAATAAATAATAAAACATTATACAGGTAACTACTTCTCAAACAACAAACCTCAAAGTAAAAACTGAAAGTAAAGAAATTCGTACACTTAGCATAGCACATAGTTTCCAAGAATCTGACAGCTGTCAATGAAATGATACATCTACATTAAAAAAAAACGGGAAATGAAATTTTTCTAAATGTAAATCCGGTTCTAGTTGTCAATTGTCAACTTGACAATACCAATGAAAAATATTTCTATCAATGTCGTAAAATTTATACCACTTGTGTAATGCCACATTTAAGCGAATTAGAAAAAGCCAGAATCGTCACTCACCTGGAAAATGATAGGAAAATGAACTAGCGGTAGAATTTAAAATGCCATTAAAATATTTTAACCTATTTTTAATAAAACACGTTCGCACCATGAAAAAATTGGAAAAAAACCTCTAAATTTTATTGACATTTCCAGTTTTTTTTTTTAATGTAGCTTGTATATGATTCAAATGATAAAAAGGTAATCGATAAATGCAGTTTTCTTCAATTTAGGTTGCGCTACCTTTGTTTCGACAGTGGAACAAAGCAAGTTTCTTTTTTTTTGTTGATAATTTTTATAGCAAATAGGGCCCCTCGTATGATGGGTTTGTAATTTTCTTTAAAAAATAAATACCTTAATTCTGATCATCTTCTACAGATACTGTCCAATTTTTGCGGTAAATTATAATATTTGAGGTATGTAATATTAATTTGCTATCATATATTATTATTTATTGTACAGATTGTCCCATGAGTAATAATGAGCCTGAAATTTTTTTTCAAAAAACCAACATTAGGTACATTTCAAAGATAACGTGAATATTGAAAATATTTGGTTTTAATAAATTAAACATAGTGATCAACCACAATACTTCAACTTTAATTTATAAAAAGTTAAACCTTGGTGAATTTGGTGAGACTTACTAAAATGTTTAGCAATGACGAAAAGATTTTGGAAAAAATGCTTCACAGGCTGCAGCCCGATGTCCAAATAGACCGCTTCCGAGTATAACATTTGACAAAAATAAAAATACAATCTCTAAAAAGTAATTTTGAATGCCTCAAAAAAATTTCATACTTATTATTACTCGAGAGCCTGTATAGTTACTATGTTGTTACTTACATACAGTGGCGGACTCGGAAATTTGGACATCAAATTTATGTCAGTTCAAAAATGTCAATGTAAGCCCCGTTTTATTGTGTCATTATGATTGATGTTTGAAACTAAAATTTGAATGTTTTAGTTGAAATTTATTTTTGGCGTCGACTTTCCGAATAATGCCAGCAATAGGTGTTTTTCTATAAGTTCAATAAATTATTTTAATTTGTTGTCATTTTTTCTCTAGCTATCAGGATAAAAACCGAAAGTGAGATTAGTTGCCTAACGCCCATTTTATGTCAGTCGAATGTCAACTTGTCCAAAATTCCGTGTCCACCCAATGTATTATTTTATTTATTTTGTACTCAATGTTAAAGAGTGCTTTTATCAACTAATTTCAGTAGATAAAGTAGTCTTTTATCGTCTAGTAAAATAAAGTAATTTTTATCTACTGTTTATATTCTGATAGGTGAGTATAAAATAAAATGAAATATTATTATACGAAGATAAAGATTGTTTATCTACTCGTGAAAAAAGTCCACTCGTGACTTAGTCACTCGTAAACTTAACCTTTTCAGTCGTAGATAAACAATTTCTTTATCGTCTTGTATAATAAAAAAATATTAATAAATACATATAAATCATTTGGTTTATTTTTCATTCATTTGTGAGAAAGATTTACTAAAATGTTTAGTAATACCGAAAAAAGTGACAGGATCCTCACTTATTGAGAATGGTTAAAAAAACGCTTCGCAAGCTACATCGCGATATTCAAATAGAGATGAGCTCCGAGTTTAAATTTTGTCAAAAATGAAAATACGATCACTATAAAAAAATCAAGGAAAAAATTGTCCAGTGTAATTTTTCCTCAAATACGATTGGTTTGCTAGTTACTAAAAATTTAAAATAAGCCGAGCATTCATCTTCTTACATTTTATGAACTATAATTTACTTCATTTACGTAGTTAAAATTGCATAATTTATTAATTCGCTAAATTTATTTTGCATTCTAAAGATAATTTTGTTTATTTTCTTAATTGAACCAGATTGAATAAAATAAAAAAAAAAACAACCAACTTCATTTTTAAAGTAGTGTTAACTTACATATTTATCTTGTACTCAATGTTAAAGAATGCTTTTATCAACTAATTTCAGTAGATAAAGTAGTCTTTTATCGTCTAGTGAAATAAAGTAATTATTATCTACTGTTTATATTCTGATAGGTGAGTACAAAATAAAATGAAATATTATTATACGAAGATAAAGACTGTTTATCTACTCGTGAAAAAAGTCCACTCGTAACTTAGTCACTCGTAAACTTAACCTTCTCACTCGTACATAAACAATTTCTTTATCGTCTTGTATAATAAATAACTGTTTTTAATTCGACACAAGTTTCCTAATAAAATGATTATTCATCGGAAGAAACTTGATTTTTTTTATAACTTTTGTAGACAAAGATTTGTAATAAATAACAAATACACTAACTGTCTGAAACACAAGACTCTAAAGTCCATGACAAATCAGATATAAACAATGAAGTTGTAGTAACATGTATCGTCAGATTTTAAAATGTCAAAAAAGTAGTGGATATATACAGAAAACTGTAACACTGATTAAAGGTTAAAATAGTTTTCACCCAAATCCAAACAGCTCGACACTCAGCTAGAACATATTTTAATGTCGTCAGGGTTAGTGAAACCTCATCTTTGTTTAAAACATTAAGTACAGTCGGACCAAAAATCGTATGAAGAGAATAGAAGGAACGAATATACACACCTGGCATCCTAAAATTAAATATGGCCTACTTAAGACACACTCAACCAAACTAAAATTAATCTTTTTACTTTTATAAATACGAATTTGAATCGTAATTGTTGGACCAAGCAGTCGTTTTATGCCGATTTAAAAAATGATAAACAATTGACCGTATTACGATTTTTGTTATTTTAAGATCCCAGGTATGAACTAAACTGCTCTGCGACGATTTAGAATGAATTATGTATGTATGTGATAATATGCAGGAAAAGTACTGTAAAGTGGCAACTTCGGATCGAAAAACAGCTGTGAGGGTTGCAAACATGCCGAAAGATCGAATTTGCGGCCGGTTTTTGGGTCACAACTCTGGGGGCGAGTCAAAAATCAACGGTCTGGTGTTTCTTGTGTGCAAATCTGACATTTGTCGATCCGAGAAACGTCCGATTTGTAGAAAATTCGTCTTGTTATTCACGAAACCGTAATGGCTACACAATAGCTGTAAAATTCGTAACAGAAAGACCGTCAGAAAGCGACGAAGGCGTTTGTAAAGTGCGAGATTTGCGAACTCACCTGAAGTTTGTCGGGTGAACAATCCTCAAACGAAAATGTCCAATTAGCGGCACTTTGAGGGCACAAATCTTCAATCGACAAAAACCATCATTATCCCGTACTGAATCTTTAATAATTACAAGAGAAAAACTGGCGAGAAAGATGGCGACCGCCTGCTAGTTACGGATAAATTATTTTCTTTCACGGTCATTTTGGATGTTTGTTGGTCAACAAACCGCACTTTTAACTGCACTAATCACTGATCGAGGGTTCACACTGGCGAAATTACGCCGCGAAACAGTTCATCCAGGGTTAATAATAATCGAGAAAGGTCTTAAATAACTTGACATGCGTTTACCGAGAATCACAGATTGATCTACTTTGTAATGTTTTGCATAGAGGAGCAGGATGTAAGCAAGCAAGTACGGATTGTTCGGACGTAGGTGACAGGCCTGTCGGGAAATCGGCTGTGAACGGTGGGAAAATAAACAAACTATTATACCGGCTCAATAGCGCGCGAAACCGCCCTCTATTTACTTGATCCGAAAAAAAGTACATAACGTTACCCGGATTTTTTTTATTTTCATTTTTTAACAAATCGCTTATTTTCTGGCGTATTTTACTTTGTCAGCCAAAATGCCGAAAAAAACTACCCTTGATAAATCATAATGTCACCCCCATGTCACCCCAAATCACAAAGATATTTAAAGCACTTTTATTAACCAGCTCATAAAATTTATGTCATCGTATCAAATTTACGATACAATAAGTAAAATATCTATTTTTTATAAAATCACTTTTTTTTAATAGAAATTGCCAAGTCAAAATTTTAGTGCAAAAATAATTGGTAGCAGCTTATCTTCATAGCCATAAATTTTTTTTGCTTTTTGTTTTTTTCCCCAGAAATTTTGTTAAAAAATTATAGCTGTTTTTATCAAATTTTGACTTTTATAAATTTTGTGTGCCTGTTTGCTCTTTGAAAGCGTTATATGTAATTGAATACCTGAAGACATAAATCATTACCTAAGATCTAAAGACAGAATTCAGTGCTAATAATTTTGATAGAAACCCATCGCAAGTAAGAACAATGTTGTGGACAATAATGAGCTTCTTGCTACAAAAACATTAATGAAAAAGGGTGTATACAGGATGTTCCCTTTATATTGTTACAAATTAAAATAGGTGATAAAATATTCAATTTTAAGACAAAAGTTTCCTATGAACATGTATCGAAAAATACTATGTAAGGGAGCTACACCTCCTAAAAGGGGTGAGTCTTTCAATGGGTTTTTTTCCAATGTTTCAGAAACCATTTTAGATAAAATTACAAAATTTGATACAGCTGATATTCTTACCTTTATAAAATCAATTTTTTTATTTGCTGGTAGGGGAAGTGTGAATCAAGATCAAAAAAGAAGTCTCTTATGTTTTCGATCAAATTTACCGTTTTTGAGTTGTTTGAGTTTTAAAGTTCAAAATTTATGTTAGAGACCATTAACAGCATAAAAATTTAAAATTAAATCCGTTTTACCTTACCTATATTTCTCCCGTTTTGGACGCCCCTGACTACAATTTCAGCATTTAATCTTTGAATTTGTTTAGGTGCATAAAAGTTATTAGCTATACCAAATTTTGTAATTTTATTCTTCGACACTCAAAATTTACGGTTTTTCTCCCGTGTAAGGAAGTTTTGACAACTGTTTTTTGGCATTTCTCAATACGAAACGTCAGATTATTTTTAACAGATTTAAAGCAAGTCTAAGCTTTGTTTGTTGAGTCTAATTCGAAGAATAAAATGTTGTATCCAACTCGTTTGAGTGTAAATCGGACGCTTTATTCCACCTCGTGGATAATATACCACTCGTTACACTCGTGTTTAAAAATCTACTCGGTGGAATAATGCGTCCGATTTACATTCAAACTCGTAGAATAAATAATTATTATGTATTCTGAAACCATGGAAAAAACCCATTACAAAACGCACCTCTTTCAGGGGGTATAGCTCCCTTGCATAGTATTTTTCAATACATGGCTATACACTGGCGGACACGGAATTTTGGACATCAAATTTATGTCAGTTCAAAATGTCGATGTCGATGTAAGCCACGTTTTATTTTAAATCATAAATTGCACTGTCAGAGCAACATAAGATAACTTGGATTGCAAATGCAAAACGTAATTAAAATTAGATAAAAACGTAAATGAAATTTGTTTTTTGGGTTGCATCGCCAGAACGTTGGGTTCATCACCCAGTAAGTTCAAGAAATTATTTTGATTTGTTGTCAATTTTTCTTTAGCTAGTGAGGTTAGTTGCCTAAGCCCTGTTTTACATTTTTAAGTCAGTCGAAATCGTCCAAAATTCCGTGTCCGATAGTGTAGGAATTAAATATTCTCACTTGTTTAAATTTGTAACAATAAAAACGGAACATCTTGGTTGCATTATGAAAACGCCCCAAGCCATAACTCCATTATTTTTAAAGTTACAGTACTTCTTAGAACAAAGTTGATCATCAACTTTAATTTTTTAAATAGAACACCTGTATATTTTACCACTTTTGGATTCTTTGTTTAATTGCCCTTTAAAGGTTTTAGTACCATATGCCTAAAACCAACCGTTCGTGAGATATTCGCCAAATAATGTATTTTTAAAATAGGCAATGGAAAACAATAATATCAACTAATGTTGACAAATATTATTACTTTTTATTTTCTCTTACTGTTTTTATACTCTTTGGTGTTAATTATGTATGATAATGTGTTAATAGACATGATTCAAGAATATTTTGAAAAATATTGAGCGATCAATTTGTAATCGAGTCATCATTGGATCTGAAAACGTATGTCTGTTTTTGAAATAACTGCACACGAAACGTCAAATAAAATGATAAGTTGAAAGGTAAAACGCCAAAATGGGCTGGAATTAGCCACCGACGTACTCGTAGGTATAACAATAAAGGACCGTTCTTTTTGAAAGTATATCATACTTATAAAAATAATCATCTTTTTCATCATGCCATTTTACCATTTGACATGTCATTTTATTTGACGTTTCACAAATGATTCCATTACAAATTATCTTAACCCTTGATCTCTCGGTAAAAATAGCGGGAGAACAAGCACTACGCATTTCCGATGAGATGAGAGAAGTTACAAATCATTCAAAATTTAATCGACTTGCAGAAAATTTATAGATGTTTGAGGCTTTTAGAAGACCTAAATTAGAACATCGCCAATTTCAAAGAGATATACAGTATGTCCCTGGATTGAGTTTACAAGAGGAAAAATTTTTTATCTTTCATTTTATGCCAAAAATGCAAAGGAAAAACATTTTTTGCTCACCTGAAACGAACAAATCTGTGATTAAAACTTCATTATTCTGATTCGGTAAAATGAAAAGTTAATTTTTGTCTTGATTTTGGACTTTGAATGAATTAATTGTCAAAGTGACATAGCTGTGTAGTGTTTGTAGAGGGTGTATTAATAAATGGATATGGAATTTTTTATAAAACTTCTGTATTTTCAAATTATGACTTGTATATAAATTAATTGTAACTTGAAGTAACTAACAACAGTACTTGATCACTTGATTACTTGATCCAGAACAAATAAATAAAACCGCAAATGCTAAAAAGCAGAGAAAATGTCCAAAAACAAGAGAAAAATTAACTTTTCTTTTCACTGAATCAAAATAATGAAAAGTGTTCTTGGACTGTGATTGGTACGAGCAAGGTTATGTAAAATGTTAAAATTATGTTTTTTATAGTGAGGTAATATTTTTTTCTCTGTTTTTTATTTGGCGGTTTTATTTATGTGACAACTATACAGCTACATTCAAAAAAAAGGGAAACGAAATTTTTCCAAATGTAAATTTGGTTCTAGTTGGCAATTGTCAACTTGAAATACCTATCAAAAATACCGTGCGATCAAAAAAATAAATAAATTAGAGTAGGAGGTGATTAAAGTCCTTCATATGGCAATCCTGATTTTTGACATCAAATGTCAGCGGAAACTTTGACAAGTTTGCGTTTTATTCCTTTTGAGTAAATAGTGTTCACTTTAGAGCAGATAATTTTTATTGCTGTACAAGAGGAAAACGGTGAATGGTCATTTTCACTTTCAGTTTGTGTGGAAAAGTTCCAGCCCAGATTCGCAGCCAATGTGTTGCCAACTGTAGAATTTAATCGACACCTACTCTAATTTATTTTTTATTTGATCGCACGGTATTTCTATCAATGTCATTAAATTTATACCAACTTATGTAATACCGCATTTACACTTGAGTGCAAAAAAAACGCAAATTGATTTTTTATATAATGTAATTTGGCTTGTTTATAAATGCCAGTTTTTTGACGTTGTCTTTGTCACAATTTACAATTTCATAATTGTCCAAACTCCTATCAAGTTTTTCCATTTCGTTTTAACACTGACTATGACATTGCACTGGCAAGACCAAATAAGACATTTCTTTTAATAGTTTTCTAACGTTTTTGGGAACAACCTTTTTTATACTATTATGTAAATCTCTGAAAAATTTGACAATTTTGTTTTTGACAGTTTGCTTTTTTTTTGCACTCAAGTGTAAGTGAAGTTTACAAAGCCAGAATCGTGACTCACCTGGAAAATGGTAGAAAAATTATGAATTTAGCGGCAGAATTTAGAGTGCCATCAAAATATTTTAAGAAAAAGAATTCAAAAAAAAATATCTAAATTTTTTGACATTTACCGTTTTTTTTTTCATGTAGCACTTCGACAATTAATTTATTAATTAAGTAATGATAGTTTTTGTTAACTTGCGAAAACCCATTTGTCAAAGTGATATCATTCTCAAAAAAATAATTTAAAAGCAGAGAAAAATGAACTTTTCTTTCTACTGTGTTAGAATAATAAAATTTTATTACAGATTTGCTCGTTTCAGGTAAAGCAAAAAATGTTTTTCCTTTGCAAAATCATAGATAATACTTATTTATTCGACGAGTTTGAGTGTAAATCGGACGGATTATCTCACCGAGTGGGTTATTAAACCACGAGTGTAACGAATGGTTTATCATCCACGAGGTGGAATCTGTTAAAAATAATCTGACGTTTCATATTGAGAAATGCTAAACAGTTGTCAAAACTTCCTTACACGGTAAATTTTGACAGTGTCGAAGAATAAAATTTATTTGCCTCTTGTAAACTCAATCCGGGGAGATACTGTAGTACATAGGTTTTGAAGGAAATGCAAGAACATCAACTCGAGAAATTGTAAATAACGTTGGTTTATCACACGCAACTGTTCTAATTTGGGAGTTCTAAAAAACCCAAACATCCTCAAATTTTCTTCAAGTCGCTTAAATTTTCGACGAATTAGAACTTCTCTCATGGGAAACCACCCAGTGTAAAGGCGTAGTGGTTTCAAATTATTTTTATAGCATTCAAAATATTCTTGAGTCATAGGCAAGACACATTATCAGCCGTGATTAACACCAAAAAGTATAAAAACAGTAAGAGAAAATACAAAGTATTTGCCTACATTACTTGGTATTATTGTTTTCTACTGCTTTACACTACTTTAATAAATACATTATTTGGCGAATATCTCATAAACGGACAAACGGTTGGTTTTAGGCATATGGTACTAAATACTAAAACTTTTAAAAGGCAATTTAACAAACAATCAAATTAGGTATACCTTAAGACTAGGATACGACACGATGTAAAACAAAACGTCCCCGTTCTCGATTGTTCCGTTAGTGAAGCCAGATAACGCAGTTGTTCCTTTGCCGATTAAGTTTTAAAGGCAATGAAATAAAAAAATGGCTGTATTTACATAACGGTGAGCAAAACGCAAAAAAAATATGGACAGATAGAGCATTAAATTCTCAATAATAATAATCGATAAAAGTAATGCAAAAATTTTATTGAAAACTATATTTAAAAAAAAATCAAACATTTAGCAATTTGCGCCCCAAATCATATAATATAAAAAAGAAAGTAGAGAACAATATTTTCAAGAAAAAAGTCCGCGAGAGATACCTCTATCTTCAATGGTTTAGGTCCTAAAGACGCTCAAAGACGCTCAAGTGACGAATACGTGTCATTTTTACCGGTTGTCAAAAGACGGAAAATTAATTTAAACCTAAACGGTTGTAGATAGAAATATGGACTTTTTTGTAGGAAATTTAATTCTCTACAACTTTGTTCCCTACACTTCTTTGTATCTTCAACCGTATTCGCAGTGATCTCAAAAATATCGAAAACAGTATTAAAAATAAATTACAAACAATTATCAGTTTGCGTTCCGCCCAATATTTTTGAGAACGCTGCGAATATGGTTAAAGATACAAAAAAAGTGTAGAAAACAAAATTGTTGAAAATAAAATTTGCCACAAAAAAGTCTACGACACCATGTTTCTATCTTCAACGGTTTAGGTTTAAATTGCTTTAAAGTGTTTCTCTGGCAATGAATCACTAGTAAAAATTAAACGAATGCGTCGCTTAAGCGGCTTTGAACGTCTCTGAGACTTAAACCATTAAAGATAGCGGTATGGGCTCGTGAACTTTTTACTAAAAATTTTTATTCTCTACAACTTTCTTTCTTACAGTTTTCTTGCATCTTCAACCGTATTCGCAGCATTTTGAAAAACATGAAAAGGGGTTCAGATTTTAAATTTCATATTTTTTCCCCATATTTCTTGTGAAAAATGTCGTTCGTTTTTTACAGCTTCTTAAGAATGTAAAGCTTGACATTTTTGCATTTTTTTCCAAGCAATTAGTTGACTGGTTGAATTTAAATTAATTTAAAACAATTTGAAACTGAGACGGTAAAAGGCTCTAAGCGCCCTCATTTTTGTTCCGCCGTACTACTTTTTTGGGGTCCAAAAAATCGAGCAATTTCGTATCTCGTTTCGTCTCCTAGTATGTAGTTCTCCGTATATCATATATTGCTTAATTTTTATGAATAACCTATACACACCGGGTGAATAAACATTATGGAACCAAGCGTTTTTTGGCTAAACTAATTACTTTACGATAATAGCTATTTATGTATCAAGTACGCAAAATAGGGTTTTAGGGGACGAATCGTAATTAATGACGAGGCGACGTAGGAGCCGAGAGGGGTCACCTAAAACCTTTTGCGTACGTGGTGCATACAAGATTTTTTTGTTAAAGTCCCAAAACACTAATTCACACCTCTTATTAATAAAAAAAAATTCGCCACCATAGTAACCAATTTAAGTTTTTACTCCGCAAAAACTGTTTTTGGGGATTGAGTATAACCATTTTGCGAACCATTTTATTGAGTCCGGAAAAGACTCATTTTGGGAACTCAAATAAGTCCGCAAAATAGATATTTTGGGAGCGTATACAAAAAAAAAAAAATTAGTGCAGTATCTATAAAAATGTGATCGTTTTTCAAGAATAAAATAGTGTAAGATTTTTTATATTTTTCGAGTTAAGCAAGAAAAAAAAAATTTTAATGGCTACTTACTACACTGACGGACACGGAATTTTGGACGATTTGTCATTCGACTGACATAAAACTGTCAAACGGGTCGTAGGCAACTAACCTCACTTTTGGTTTTTGTAATTTTTATCCTGTTAGAGAAAAAATGACAACAAATCAAAATAATTTATTCAACTTATACAGGCTGTCCCAGAGCTCCGTATTTCTTCAATTACTCTAACAGAAGAAGTTTTTTAGACCATAGACATTCATTTTTCTTTGATCCAAAAATATTATAGTTATAATATAGTGCGTGTTCTATAAGAAAAAATATAACTTTGTTGCGCCACCCTATGTAGGAATTACCTATAATGACAAAAATATTTTTGGATCATAAAAATGAATGTCTATCGCCCAAAAGAAACCGCATTTCGTTATCTTTTTTATTGTCAGAGTAATCGAAGAAATACGGAGCTCTGGGACACCTGTATGTATAAAAACACGTATTGCTGGCATTATTGTTTCGGAAAATCGACGCCAAAAATAAATTTCAACTAAAACATTCAAATTTTAGTTTCAAACATCAATCATAGTAACATTAAAACGTGGCTTACATTGACATTTTTTGAACTGACCTAAATTGATGTCCAAAATTCCGTGTGCGCCACTGTACATATGACCAAATGCATGAAACGACTAGTTCGGTTAAGTTCCTAAAATCTTCGTAATGAGCTCGGAAAGCAACTTTAACAATTTATTTAAAAAAAAAACACTTGATAAAAAATATTTTTTTTCATTAGGTCATTTTTAGATCATAATCTTTAATTAAAAAATTTGTCATGGTGGGTTGCCATTAAAAAACCTTTTTTTTTTCAAAACTCGAAAATAATTTTTTTTTTGAAACATAGTATTCTTCAAAAACGAGGCGGGGTATTCAGGAGAGAGTTATTTCCGAATTTTTTTGCCGCAACCAACAATACATATTGGATATTGCCGAGCGTATGAATCGGCGGCTAATCTAGCATTTTTACCAAATGCACCATAAGTTAATATCATATCAGTTTTTTCATTATTTGTAAATAAATATCTTGGCATTTATGAAATTTTGAGACGTCGTCTGCGTTTCATTTGACGCTTTGAAATATTTACTTGTCATTGGACGACACATTCTTTGATTCTCGATATTTTGAAAATTTAATTTTGAATCAAGGAATAAGTGCATAATGTATTATGGGTTGTCTGCCAAGAGGGGTCAGGTGGGTCATTTAAGCTGAATTACCCTGTATGTAAACAGCCGTTGTATAGGTGAGCGAAAAAAAAATGGTGGATTCGCCGGGAAAATATTACAACTACAGAGTAAAATTTATATCGTTTATTTTGTATAATAATAATAAGTAACAACCAAATTAAATGTGTAATAAAATGTCAATAAAATAAATAATAAAAAATTGTACAAAACATGTATTTAAGTACATAAATCCATTAAATTTATATTTTGATTCTAATGCAATTATTTCACGTTTTAAAAAGTATGTCCTCAGATGGGTGAAACGACTCTTGTAAAAGATAAAAAAAGTTCTATTTACATTTTTATCTTTTTGGGTTCAGCTCTGCGTATTAAAAATTAATTTCTAACATAATTTTAGTTTTGAAAAATCAGGTAGGTATGCCTTGAAAATTTTCACAAAAACTATTTTTCTATAAAGTACCTTTTAGGTGGCAACTACAACAAACAGTTAAAGTTGTTTAGAATCAACATTTACCAAATTTCAAAATCATTGGGCAACTATGATTTTTCTTTTTTTTTCAAGATAATTGCTTTTTATTAACGGAAACGTTAAAAATTTATTTAGTACTAATAATATAACTGTAAATCGGTTTTATTCATAATAAAAGAAGTGTTAAAATAATAATAAAAATTGAAAAAATCATAGTTGGCCAATGAGTTTGAAATTTGGTGCGTGGGCCTTGATGTTGATTGTAAACAACTTTTCTTAATAACTGTTTGTCGTATTTGCCACACAAAAAGCACATTACAGAAGAATAGGTTTTGTTTTAAGGCAAGGCATATTTGATTTTTCACAACTAAGATTATGTTAAAAATTAATCTTTAACCAAGCAGGGCTGCACCCCAAGAGTCGTTTCTTCACCCACAGCTTCCTTGATTAATGACGAAAGTTTCCCTTGACCCGGCTGATGGTCGCGTTCATTAGTTCACTGCGTTTTTTTTGCTTCCAAGAGGGAGCCACATTACGGTACAAGATTCTGACAGTTAATAAGGTTATGTGCTGTCAGTAGAAAGTAAAAAGGCGTTAGTTTTAGCGGTATAAAAACGTAATCTAACTACGTTTGTGCCGCTAATAATCAAATACGCACGTCACAACACCACTATAATGATCTTTTGAAAAGTAAAACTCGAATCCACGGTTCAAATATCAAATAACAAAGAAAGTTTTCGGAAGAAACTAACAGATGGCGACACATTAGAGTACGCTGTATAGACAACGTAGTAAGCTATGTAAACATACTAAACCATGATGTCTATGGTACGCTGTCAGAACCCCCTTTTTGCATGCCACCAGCCGGGTGAAGGGAAACTTCTTTCATAAATCAAGGAAGCTGTGGTTTGACCTATTCGGGGATACACTGTATATACATATAAATGAGTAATCTTATAAAAAACATTTTGAAAATAGAAAAATTCTAGACTTAATAGTAATTGTAACAAAAGATCACAATAATTCAATAAATAAAACAGCCTAAATTTACATGTTTAAACAGTATGTACTTCTCCAGGTTGATGAATATTATTTGGTAAGGTACATTCTGAACCGTCATCAGAAAAATTATTTTTCTCTATATTACCATTACTTAAATTAACATTTTTTGGAATGTTTTCATTTTCTGTGGAATTTTCTACTTGCATATCATTATCTGGAAAGGCTTCAAGAGCTTTTTGCACAGGCTCCGGGCTTACTAATAAATTACTCCACCAATTAGAGAATACTCCTTTCGCTTGAGAAAAGGCTCCTCCTACAGCCTTACTTGTTGTAGCGACAGCTCTCCCGGTTGATACCATGGCTTGATTAAGTTTTCTGCCACTATCTGAACTTTGCATAGTACTAAAATAATCACAAATTAATTAAAATAAAAAGAAAAGAAAACAGAACGCTCACTGTGCTAACCGTAGCTTCATATCGGCCACTGAAAGTTGACCAGCAAAAGGATGTCCCGGATTTACGTCTAATATTCCAGGATTAATTCCACTTAACCATATTTTGTAATTATGAGTATCTCTCCAAGATGTGACAAAATTAGTATTGAAATGTTCAATTTCTCGAGAACCATCTGAAATTGTTTTTACAAAACCAAATATAAAATACAGTAAATATAAACCTTGAGAGAGTGACGTCCTCATCAAACATAACAAGTAAATACGAAACTGAGTCCTGATCCATTCGTCCCCTCCCTCCCAACCAACCCCATCTAAAAACACATCATGTCTTTCCTCAGACACATGTTTAACAATATAATCGGCAAATCTTAAATCTTCAGTAGTAAGATGCAACTGTTTTCTCAATTCCAAGTCTTGGCACTCAATCCTGGCTGCATCTACGTCCACCAAAACGTCGTAAAGTTGACTTTTTTGCTTAAATAAAATATTTGTAGCCCCCACAACGTATCCCCTAACATTAACATCAGTAACTAAATCTAAATATGGCAGTGACAAATAAGGAAGGCACATATAGCCTTTGGTAAATATCGATAAAGGAAAACCACACGAGGATGTGCTGAGATGAGCTAAATATGCCATATTATTGTGCATAGAATCGGCGATAGTGTCTGAACTGATGTCTCTTTGCAGACTGTTATTTTTCCCATTTGAATTTGTCTCGTTTTGTTGTGACGCTTCTGTTATTTCGATTCCTACTTCAGTGATGCCAAGTGAAGAGTTTTTGTCATCTTCATCCTCACAATGCTCCAAAATATTCACTTCTTTGTTATTGAGTTCTTCATTAGATACGTTTTGATTAGTACTATCGATATTTTCAATTTGTGTTTTAGAGGGACTAGAATGTGGTGATTGATCATCGTCAGAATATTCCGGCATTGGTGACATAGGACGCGATAATCGTATACATGCTGATTGATCCATACCTTTTTCAATCATTTCTGGGAAAAGGGAAGCCAAGGTAAGAATTGTTGAACATAGGGGGTGAACTGGAGACTTGTAAAAAATAAGTCTCCTTTCTAATAGTAACAATTTAAACAATAATATTGCTTTGTGCCTCCAATGCAAAACAAATTCTCTGGCTGACAAGCCTGAAATAGTAAATTAGATGAAAAAAAAACAAAATTTTAGTACACAAACCAACAAAAATTTGTTGTTGAAAATCATTCTGTGTTAAAACTGAATTCAAATGGTGATAAGTATCTTCTAAAAGTGATACTTTACTAAAATCACCTTCATCAAAATACGCATGTGTTATAAGTGACATTTTCACCTGTATCTGTCCATAAAGTGGTATCTTACTTAAAACACAAACCGATTTTTGAATAGTCCCTCTGGTCATATCAGAAGTGCGATTTTTGATCTTCTAAAAATTACAACTTCATTTCACAATCACCAAACTCCCATTTTACGTTACTTCAATAGGAATCTGACGAAAACATGAAATACCATAAATTGTTTGTTTTGGGTTATTTAAACTCGGCAAATGAAAAAACACAGTATCTTCATCATAATTATGAGATCCATCCGGTAAAGCAAGAGTTGGCAAGTACTTCCATCCAGGGGGGCACTCGTTGGGCGATTCCGGCACGAGAGGAGGAAACGAGAATTCCACCTACAGAGGTAATTAATGAATTTAATGAAGCACAACGGAGTATTGACTGAAATACCTGACAACCCTTTTTGTGGTGAAACCCTACCACTATAACGTATAATATGGGTCCGTCTTGTGCCTCCATCACTATTTACCCCAATTTTTAATCCAAAACTACGATTTATCAACACGAACACTTCGATTTTACCAAAATGTCAACGAATCTATGAAATCTGACAGCAAATTTTAGTAACATAATGCCGCCAACATAAATCTTTGATTTTATATTTTGATCCAGGAGAATAAAGTAGCGACGTTTTATGTTCACAACATTATTTTGTAAACATGTTGTTTTAAAGACAGTAGTTGAAGCCGGTCCTTTAATTTTTATTTTGTTATTCTAAAAAAGTAGTCGTTTTTTTAGAACAAACAAAATCCCTAACTTGCCGCACCTGTCACATTTGTAAACAAACATTAAAATAATAACATATCAAGCAAAATTAATTTTTTGAAGTGTTTTTAAGTTAAAATGTCGCAAGATCGATGTTTCAACAACCCATTTGATGACTATTCATCAGAAGCCGCTTGTTGTGTAATTGAAAATGGGACGGTGAACTTTTTGCACTTTCAGTCTAGATTTTTAGTTAACTTTTTAATTACAGATTAAATGCGATTGTAAATTGTCTTGCGATTTGGAGAAGAAATGGCACGATACCTTAGCACATTTTAAATATCTTGAATATAATGATTATTCTGTGTACACCGGTACTTCAGGTATTGCTTTGTTGAAACTTAAAAAAGATCCTGACAGTAAACAAATCCTGCAGGTAGGATATTATTTTGACTTTTCATTCTTTGTTCATTACATATATCACAGGAAGCATTACAACTGCTATCATTACATAGACTAAGAGGAAGAAGACCTACTTTTTTGTGTGGGGATGCTGGACCTCTTGCTCTAGGTGCTATTATTAATTATAAATTGGAGGATAAAGCTTACTTGGACTGCATTGAAAAGTAAGTTTATACTCGTGTAACTAAAAATTATGCCACTTGTTTAGGATTAAAGCTTTATCAGAAGATGTTTTTGATCCAAGCTCAGATTTACCAAACGAGTATCTGTATGGCCGTGCAGGCTTTCTTTTTGCAATTTTATATGTCAATAAACATATCTCACCCACACCATTTGATGAAAGTTTTGTCAGAAAAGTATGAAACTGGAAATATATACCAAATATATTCTCAATTTGTTTTGTAGATAATTGAAACAATCATAATTTGTGGAAAAAATGAAGCAAAAGCTGGGAAATTTAAATGTCCACTGATGTACCAATGGCATGAAAGTTATTATCTAGGAGCAGCACACGGTGTGTCTGGGATTCTTTATTTGCTCCTACAAGCCAAAGAATATTTAACCGAAAATGAACTACAAGCAATAATTAAACCTACAGTTGATTACCTGGCCACTTTGAGATTTCCAAGTTGTAATTTTCCTTCGTCTTTGGGAAGGGATAATGATAAATATGTTCAGTGGTGTCATGGAGCACCAGGCTTTTTGTATCTTTTCACTACAGCTTATAAAGTAGGTTTCCTATTTGAATTTAAACTTTTTAAAACTTCAATTATTAGGTTTTTGGTGATTGTAAATATTTACAATTGGCTCTTGATTGTGGCGATGTAATTTGGGCTAGAGGCTTATTAAGAAAAGGATACAGTATTTGTCACGGTGTTTCAGGCAATGCTTATTGTTTCTTGGAGTTATATCAAACCACTGAAGTATTTTATTAATTCATTTTGTTTTCCGTATTTTACTTTTTATTGTTCTAGGATGAAAAGCATTTATATCGTGCTGTTAAATTTGCAGAGTGGTGTTTCATATATAATAAGAATCACGTAGAACACCCCCCTGATCGTCCTCTTTCCTTATTTGAAGGATTGTCAGGCCCTATGTACTTGTTTTTGGATATTCAAAAGCCATTGGAAGCTAAATTTCCAGGATACACTCTGTAATTAATGTGGTGGTAATGGTATAGAAAAAATTCTTGTTTAACTTTTTGAATCAAAATACGAATAAATAAAATATCCACTTTATTACAATAAATCATTCAACTAATACTATATGGTCAAAAATGTTGGTTGGTATTACAGCACACCATTTTTGGACATATGGTACTTTTAACATCTAATAATCTTATGTACATTTTATCTACCAAAATAGCAAACAGAATTTAAAATATGGAATAACAATGCAAAATAACTACATGTCAATACATTCCATACTTTTCAACAACAAAGCATCATTATGCAAATCAGCTGGGGAAAACAATAAGGTCAAAGGAAGTAGATCTAGATCTTGTGGGTGCAAAAGTAGTTAAGATATTTTCATTCGATATGTAAAAATATATTACATACATACATTTATATACATTCAATAAGCCTATTAGACCAAGAATGTTCTGCTTTTAAATATTTTGTAACATTACAAAAAATAGCTGAAGAGACTGATGGCACATAATTAAATTGTAATGTTACCAAATATTATGTTTGTTACAAATTAAACCTAAGAAGGCACTCCATCAGGTCTTGACACTTGAAAATAAATAAAAGTTTATACATCAAGTTGTTATAAATATTTACATCGGCTTCTTATAAAATATATTAATTGTTTCACAAGCCTTTTCTGTCCAATATTATATATGATACATAATATACATCAGTGTTGTATATAACTGGAGTACTTAAAAAGAAAATAAACTTTTAATTAAAAATAACAATTCCGATATTTACATATTTAACTTAGAATATTGTACAGATCAATAAGTAAAATGCAATTCAAGATATTTGATATCATATTTTTTAATAAACCAACATCAAATGTAAAGTTTTTTTTGAAATCTTTGGTCAACAAAATCCTGAAAAATCAGTTATTTACACCATGCCGAGGTAACACTTAATAAAGGCAAATAAATCCAGCAGGTGTACAATTACCGAAAAAAATGAACAAATTGCACTAATTCTTTTTAAATTACATACTGATCGACACTTTATTAGCACAATGCTAAACTACTCAACCAGTTTCCCTTGGCAAAATAGTCCTACACCATCGAAAAAACAAAACACCAATCTCAATCTGTTTTCTGCTGACAGTACAGTTCTTTTAGAGATTTCAACTCGTCTATTAATGCTTTGTTTTGATTTTCCAAAACCGCTACTCTATTTTCTAGGCACTTGATGTACTCCTTCTTCTTTCTTCGACATTCTCTCGCGGCTTCTCTGTTTTTCAGCAGCCGCATTTCACGTTTTCTGTCTTGATCTTCGCCGTTACCCCCACTTATGTTGGCTCCTTGTGCCACCACTGCAACACTTCCTAATTTTACACCGCAATTCTCAGGTTAGTACTCTCGGTTAAGCTTATCGAAACGAGTTTTACTCACCAGGCACGAAGAATTCCTGCCCTTGAGCATATTGCACAATCGCGCCACCTGCCGTTGAATTTGTCATGGTTAGAGTGTGAATTCCCTGAGCTCCTTTACCTCCCGATATTTGAATTGCACCAGGCAACACTGAAACAAAGAAAATTCTAGACGGATATGTTTTTAAAATGAGACAAACATTCCGGACCAATTTGTTATTTGATGTATCATGAATGAAAATTACAGCACTGAAAAATGCATGCTAATTAAAAGTGTACAGAATACTAACTATATTGAATGATCTGAAATGTGGATCTATACACTTTTAGGGATTGTTAGTGGACTAAAGTGCTTGGGCTAATCTGGATGGAGTTAGGTGCTTATTTTTTTTTCTCATCAAAACTAACCTGTATGGTATGGTATAGAGTGTGAGGACAACTCACTGTCGGCTTCTGAGGAAATTTGTTCAACCTTGGTTTCTGTGAACACCATCGTCTTATTACTACTTGTCACCGTATCATTGCACAATTTTGAAATGCCCATTTTTACTTAAGATACAGAATCCAAAAAAATATCCTTTTAGCCCATGCATGCAAATTCAAATAAAATTCGAAAGATCGGATCTTACGTTGCGTACAAAATAAAAGATTTAATGGCAACATAAAATATCAGTAATTCAAAAATTTATGACCGTTTATAAAACCAATACCCACTGATACATTATTTTGCCATTTTAATAAACCATAAAATGAAAAAGGCTATTCATGCATAATCAGAAATCAGAAAAACATTGAAAGGTATGAAATGATTATTTTTAGAACAATTTGGGTAATTTTTGGTCAGATTCACTTATTACTTACTGTGATAAAGGCACTAAATTTAGAAGAAAAAAAAACGATTTTTTATGTAATAAAGAATTTTGTTTGAACTATTTCTTTTTATTTTTAAATCTTTGCAGTATGTACACCCGGAAAAAAGTGTTTACCAGTCTTCGGATTTACTTTTTTTAAATAATAACAGGGTGTGAAAATTGATAATAGAACAGAGAAGAAATAATGAAATCTAGAAAAAACTCACGTAATTATTGACTTCTCTGTCACAGATAACATTTGTTGCAACATACATACAGGGTGATTCAGATAATGAGATAATGAGCCCGACGTTCTGGCGATGCAACCCAAAAAACAAATTTCATTTACGTCTTGATCTAATTTTAATTACGATTTGCATTTGCAATCCAAGTTATCTTATGTTGCTCTGACAGTGTTTTGACAAACAATTTATAATTAATAAAAAAACTGTTTGCGTACCTTTAATGTTTCATTTTTTCATACATTTTGTGTTGGATTTACACCGAAAAGACTTTCTAATTTCTTTATCATTCCGCGAGAACAAAATGGCATTAATGGTCGTTCTCTGCGTTGATGTCAGAGTGACATAAGATGATAACTTGGATTCATCTTGCAAATCCTAATTAAACTGAATCAAAGGCGTAAATGAAATTTATTTTTTGGGTTGCATCGCCAGATCGTCAGGCTCATTATCTTATCTGAATCGTCCTGTATTGTAGTACTCGTAATAGAGAACGAGTTAGTTTAACAAAAATGAAAAAAAAAAATCCAGAATAAGCATTTCGAAGAACAAATTAACAATTCAATCAATTGTAAAAAAATATAGAAAACAAGAGTTCTTAATTTTCAATAGTACCTAATATCCTGAGTGCATGCCAAATTGTCGATAATTTTGTCTAGTGCACGAGACAAAATAGCATCAATTTGGCATGCACAAGGGGTATTTTGCAGATTATTTCCCAAACAAAATTTACAAAAACAATATTTTCATTATGAGAAGTTAAAAAAAAAATCCAATCAGATTCGTGGTAACTTAGCACATGGACAAATTATCGATAATTTGCACACGTGCTGAATTATCACGTAATTTGAATCTGATTGGATGAATCTTAGAAAATTGAAAGATTTGCTTGGCTTAAATTTTGTGAGGGAAATAGTCCAATAATGTAAGTTTTAAATGGTTAAATATTGAGATATTTTTAACATTCAATGTTAGGCAAACAGGTGTAATACAAAAATATCTTGAAGCTAGTTCATATTGATTTACGGCAATAACTCTAGTTTAGTTTAGTGGTCTAGTGGTAATAAAATCGTTTGATTTTTTTAAACCAAAAGCCATTTTTGACCTTAGTGTACTGTTTTCGCTAATAAAATTATTTTACGGCCTACGCCTATCAAAATTAATAAACAAAACACAAAATAGAATCAAGACTAGATATTATTTATATCTATTTGCAAGTCCTATAGCCAAGAAACTTGTTTTTAAAATTGTTTTCGGTTTTCTAAAACATGACTTAATAGTTTTCTTCGATTTCATTAAGTTGTGCTTTATTACATTATTTTAACCCACAATGGATCTTAGTTGACTTCCATCATATGAAAAAACTTCTTTAATACTACCTACTCGTAATTTTTGCTAAAATGATTTTAGGAAACATTAACACAACTGGTTTTAAATTAATTCTATAGATGTTATTTAACTGTAATATAATTCTGTTTGATAGTAGTAATGGTTTTGAAGGAATTTTGGGAGGAGTTTATCCTAACTTTTTATTTTAAAACAAATCAAGACATTTCTGAATGTTTGACCAAAATCCCAATTATTCTAATGGTAAATAATCATTCCATACAGAATATGTAACATAACAGGTCAGAAGGCGCATGCAAAATAACAAAAATAAAAAAATACCTCGGACTTAAAACAAATATGTCCTTTTACTAGTTACTGAATATGAACTGAACTAAAAGAAGTGTTAAAATCTCCAAAACATCAAGAGGCTCCCAAGACATGCAATAAAATAACATACCAGCTATCTCACCCCCGCCAAGATCGTTGAGAATTTTTCGATAAGACGGCCTTCTCGTTAACAAGTCTCTCCTTTTTTTGGGCGATTCCTCTTCCGAGAAACTGTCTTCACTTCCCGTTTCAACAACCTAAAATTTTTCAGTAATAATTAACCTCGCACAACCACAAAGCACCCACCTTCACTTGCAATGTTTGCAGTCCACTGAGACTCCCTTGCGTGGTCTGTATCACTGAATTCGGTTTACTGACGAGTATGACGTTGCCTTTGCTGAGCATAGGCTGTATATTGGCTGCCGTTTGAATCACGGATTGCTGGTTGGGCTGAATGACACTTTGTACCTGTAATTAATTTGAACACATGTCGTTTTTGGCGATTTAAATCTAGGATCATGCACGGAGGGGTAGGAAAACCCCTACCTGTGCTTGGGTTTGTGTAGGCAAAGTTAGTTGGACAATGTTAGTAGCTGTCATCAGATGGGACTGGGAGTTTGAGACCCCTACCGAGGCGATCGGTGATTGCGGGTCCGGCGATGGGGCCAGCGGATCAACTGCACCATTCTCTTCCACTATCCCTTCCATTGCCTAAGTACAAAAGCACCTGGAAACAACACACTGAGTCAAATTTACGAAAATAACACCATCATCACATGGCGAGCACCAAACGTGATTACATTTATTAATAAACTTGTGACGTCATTATTGAAATCGAACATAGAACTTGTTTTAAACAAATCGAGTGTTTTGGACAAACTTTCAACAGGATACTACAATCGTGTGATATTTGCGTGACGTAACAACCTATTTTAAAAATTACCACCCTGCATTATATACGTGAGCTTTCAAATATTGACTTTTTTAATTATTATAACCTGTTTAATACCAAAACAGGTCATAATGATAACGAACAGCACTTTAAACAATCAACAATCGAGCTGTTTATTTTAACAATAAGTGAACCGTCAAGTACGTGCGACCAACCAATCAAAAGTATTATTACATAAATTTGCTAAAATACATAAAAATTGGAGTAGTTTTGCGTTCGAATTTTTGTTTTTTTTTTACAGTCCAAAACGTTTTTGAAGAAATTAATTATAACTTATTTTGCATAGGATTAACTTTATGTAATAGTTTTTTTTTGTATACCAGGAACCTCTACGTGTGTAAAGGAGTGTCCTTTCTTAATGAATAATTAGAAATAACGGAAACCTTTAATTTGTACGTATGTAAAACAAATAATATTTGTTCTGAAAATATGTACAACGCTCATGAAATATTAAAAAAATCTGGATAATCAAAAACAGTATGCAAAGGTTTTACATTTAAAAAAGGGGGTTACCCAATAACAATATTAGTCAATTTCACTATGGATGGAGAACTTTATTTACAATTTAAATTTGTTAAGGTATTTTGCCTTTTTAATTATTCACATAGTAGGTGAAATGGTATTATTATAACATACTCACTGTATTATTCCACTTAAAAACTAGAAAAAATAAAAAAATATATTCCCGAAATAATTCTGTGTACAATGATGCTATTTGTTATCTTTAAAAATATTATAATTTTTGCATAAACATGATTAGAAATGAATAACATGAATTTAATTGTGTCATTGAACTAAATAATACTCCTAAGTAATTTCTAGAACTCTGTCAACTATGTACGGTGGCGGACACGGAATTCTGGACATCAAATTTATGTCAGTTTGAAACTAAAATTTGAAAGTTTTAGTTGAAATTTATTTTTGGTGTCGATGTTCCGAAATAATAATGCCAGTAATACGTGTTTTAATATAAGTTTAGTCAATTAATTTGATTTGTTGTCATTTTTTTCTCTAGCTATCAAGATAAAAATTACAAAACCGTAAGTGAGGTTAGTTGCCTGAGGCCCGTTTTACATTTTTATGTCAATCGACTGACAAATCGTCCAAAATTCCGTATCCGCCAGTGTATTAACCACTATTTTTGGGCAGATAAATAATGATCATATTGCCTGTCAATATATTTTTATGCAACCCTCAATCGCTTTGTGGATGGCCGGTCTACTGCAAATTTTAAAGTAGGTATTTGAGATAAGAGGACAAACGAAACCAGTCCCGTTTTTGTAAAACTAAATAAAAAAGATTTTTTCTCCTTTATTCCCTCGAATGTAGTAATGTAAAAAATTGACATATTTTCTAAACTTCTTGTACAATTTTAATCTTAAACGAATTTAAAATGGAACCAAAGAAACCTGTGCATAAAATGTATTTAGCTAACATACTAAAATTACTAAAAGTAATTTGGTGTATTGTTTGATACAGGCTAAACAAGAGTGCGCATTTCTTTATGGCAGTGATTCCCAACCGGTAGTCCCTTGAGACATCAAAGTCTCATAAAAAAAATTCTCATAAAATATGCCATTATTATAACACGTATTCAACAACCAATCACCTATTTATTTATAATTAGATGTATTTTTCATAAAGGGGTCCACGACACATCATACTTTTGCGTCAGTGTTCCGCTGCATTTTAAAAGTTGGGAACTACTGATTTACGTACTATTTCGTTCACTTTACTGAAAAAGTATAAAACCAATCGAGTTTTTTTGCTAAAACTGAAAAAACCAATTAGTTTTTGTTTGTTTTTAAGAATACATATTTTTGCTTGTTATAGCAACGATAACAGCTTAGGCCACTATAAGACGTTGTTACGCATATTGCTATAGTACAGTCGAAAGACTACTTGCATCAAATTTGACATTATGAATAATTTTGTCAAAAGTTTTAGTAGCACGAAAAGTACTGAACGACACTCGGCCGATACGTAAATAACAAACGCGATTAGTAGTAAACAATTCTTTTTTATTTCTTTTCACATTGTTATTTTATTATTTGTAGAATATGTTTTTTATTTGGTTAAAACCTATAGAATTGGGCATTGTTTATTTATTAGGTATTCAAAGCTATTTTCACTTGATTTCAGTTTCACTTGATTTCAGATCACACAATTTTACATATTCCGGCCCTGGTTTTCAGACTGGCCGAGGGGACTGTCGTGGTCGGTCGTAAATTTTCTTCAATTATTTGGGTTTTAGGTTCTTTGCCCTAGATTTATTACAACTCCAAGTTGCTGGAATCATAAATTTGACTATACAGACTGATTCAAATGTATTGAAATATCTCTTGGGTGGTGATAAAGAACATACCATTGATATAAAAATTCACATGGCAAAAAATTGTTTGTCTTTTTTCACGAGATATAAGATCTTCGAAGGTTAGATCTTTGGTTTAAGTTTTTGGCCGTTCAAATCATGTAGTCGTGACTTTAGTTAACGGAAACGACAGATCTTGCAACATTAAATAGATGCCTATTGAAAAAATTAACGATTTGTGTCTTATGGCGTACAATAGTACAAGCGAGGTGGTAAATATGGCATTACCCCGAGTGCTTATGTATACGATCGAGAGGCGCTAGCCTCGAGATCGGATAAAGCACAAGGGGTAATATGCCATTACCACCGAGGTTTGTATGCTATTTTATTCACAATCACATTATTTTCAGTCAAAAATTTGAGCAAAATAAAATTATAACAAAGTTAAGGTCCAAACCTGGTAGGCCATCCAAATGGCGTTTGATTTTTGACATTTCAGAAATGTCAAAGAAAATATTGAAATAATACGTGTGAATCTGACTTAAAATCCTCGAAATGGGGCAGTAAGAGAAACTGCTACAAAAGCAAATGAATACTAATTTAGCAAAATATTATGTGTAACTTGACAATTTGAAAGAAAAAATTCCCGATATTTTTGTAATTTTAGGGTTGGCTATCCTGCATATTACCGCCCAGGAGAAGTAATATTATTACTCCTCATGAGATTTAATGAAGTGTTTCCCAACCTTTAAAAGGTTAGTAATCGGCATATTACATTAGTGATTGTGAATAAAACATTTAACAAACTAGCAAATTCAACAATAAATTAAACAGAAGAGGTAAAATATCTACATGACAATATGTAATATGAAAATTAACAGTTCTGTTTTTTCTCAAAATAAAAGGCTTGAAAAAAAAAACAGGTATTCATTTTTATGCTTAGTTGAAAGTCTTCTATCACCAATGGAGAGTTGGCCCGACACTTTTCAATCAGCCTGTATATAAAATTCAACATAAATAATAATATAAAAACAAACTCAATTCAAATTCTAAATATCAAAATTTTTGTTTTTTCAACGCATTTCAAGTAGTTAAAGTGTAAAATATAGGATAAAGATCTTTTATTCAATCCTCTATGTTAAAATTTAACTTTATCTACTCTTTTCTCCATGTTAAAATGAAATTTTATCGTCTAGATGATAAAAAATACATCTATTGTTGTATATTTGCGGTTGTTAGTTTCTAACGATCTTTGACATTAGATTCACTGTTGTTAAAATTTAAGTAAGTAAATTAGATAATGAAATCTAGAGCGTCAATTGATGATGACAGTGTATGTAAAGCTGTCAACAACCAAGAGTATACCATTTAAAAAATAAGACTACATTTTTATACTTTTACAAAATTCACTGCAAAGCAGGCTTTAACGTCAAATTTGACTTTTCAAAACCTCCAAAACGTCAAAATGTAAGGGAAATCACTGACAACTACCTTCACATTTAATGACATTGCTTCCCCATTTTTTTTTATCTGCAATGATACTCTATTGTCGTGTCAACAAGAAATTACTCCCTAAGATTTAGGGATATTCGTGAATAGGTTTCCATAAATTTGGGTAGGTTGGTTTTTGGTGACAAACAAAATATATCGTAACCAGTGTCAAAATTTAGGTTAAGTCACCTGTCAGCTTGTATGGATAATCAATTGATAGTTGACAGAATTGACAGAAAACGTCAACCGTCAACTACAAGGGGTAACCAACCCTAAGCATTAAAATTACTTCTGAAAATGCTAGTTACAAACAACATGAAAAACGTAATTTTCCTAAAAGTTGAAATCCTAAGTGGTAATTTCTTCTTGACAAATCTGTAGTTGTACCATTTTAAAATAAAATTCAGGATTGCCAATTTAAACAGATATTTTTAAACAAACTATGTTTGACAATAAAGTTATTCACATGTTTGACAAATATTTAAAAAAATTTAAATAAAAAGTAAACTATAAAAATACTTTTATTTTAAGATTTGATGTAGGTGTTGTATAAATTATTATTAATAAATATTGTTATTCATAAATTATTACAGGTGTTTGAGATCTATACTCGATGCGGTTCGAGTATTGTTGGTTGCAGGTCATGCTGATTGATTGGGGTACACTAATAGTTCGTAAGTTTGCAAAAAACTGCGTTATATTTTTAAAAATGTTGGAAAACAGGAACTGTTATTATGTAAGCAAAATAGTGTTGCGAATTAGCATCGCTTGTAAATTTCGTGTAAATATTAGCCATCAGTAATGAAATCGGTTGGGCTCAGCGATGTTATGAAACGTTTGCGATGGTTATGAAGCCATAAAAAATGTTGATGCGTCTGTAGAAACGTCAAATTTGACATTGTTTGATCCTAACCCCAATAATAGTTCAAAATCAAAGTGAGCTATTTAATCATGACTAAGCAAATCACAGCAAGCCTTGAACACAACAGAACGTTTTGACAGCAACACCGTCAAAAAATGTCGAAAAACGTTGAACGCAAAAAGTGTGTCCGTGTGCGTATATTTCTAAAATTAAAACAAACGCGAGTAGAACGAGCAATATGACGCCATATTCAATACCTTTTCCAATAAACTCGCAAAACACCTTGTCGACATTTTAAAAACGTCCGCACAAAACACTGGCTATACTCGAATCACCACCTTCGAAGGGATGTCTGGACCACGTCGGCACGGTGTTATTATTCTTCAGCTGGGTACTTACCAGTTACGTATTCGTCGTCACCGAGTTTGAAGCGATCGGAGTGGGTAAGCGGGCTATACGTAGTAACCACGTCAAAATTTCTGGGCGGTCGTCACTGGACGAGAACAGAACACAAGTGCGCGTCACAGCAATGGCGCCCGAGAGCGCGCTTGCAGCCTCCTCTCGCACCGCACTCCACTTCTCGCCCTCCTTTTGGCGGCCTCCATGCCTTGACCCATGTGTGGAGAAGCTCGGTGAAAATCTTGGCTTTTCTATAATGCTTGTACAAGGGGAAAAGCATTTAGACATTTCCTGATTCAAAGGCATTTTGATCATTTGCAAGTCTGTGATAAGCACGCCAAAGAGCTATTTTCATCAGCTGATTTGAAAATTTTCCAAGACGATTGGAATCGTTTGGAAATTTTTCCATGGTTTTCGCCAATGACGCAATATGAGGAAGGTTTCATTAATTTTTATTCTTTGCACTCTTTTCCTAGTTGAATTATTCTTATCACCGTTTTCCATCACATTTTCAGTGGTGAAACAAAACAATGAATCTCTCCTACTTGAAGCAGTTAAAATAGTTGAATAATAAGTACAAAACTGGTCTAAGTATTTTCTTATTATCTCATTTTACAGTATTTATCCATGTCGACTAGTCAGGTTGACATTTTAAGTAATTACGAGTTGGCTTTTATGATTTAGGTATTATTCTCGTAATTTCCATTTATTCACAAGAAATTTTTCAAAAGCTAAAAAAATATATGTACCTATATACCGAGTGTCCGGTCTCAATCGTGAACATAGGGATTTAACATTGTATTGTTTATTTTTGCTGATTCCTGCTCGGCTATACGACCTAGAAGTAAGGTGTTGGTACCTATCGAAAGATAAAATTATTTCGTGTCAAATGATTCCAAAGGTAAGAATCAAAATGGTATTTTTATTTTAAAATACAATTTTAAATTTTATCAATACGTGAAATAGGTAATATTACTGTCAAAAACGTCAAAGTTTTCTTACAATTTATTTTATACACTGGCGGACACGGAATTTTGGACGATTTGTCGCTCGACTGACATAAAAATGTAAAACGGGCCTTAGGCAACTAACCTCACTTTCGGTTTTTGTAATTTTTATCCTGAGAGCGAGAGAAAAAATGACAACAAATCAAAATCCTTTATTAATCTTATATAAAAACACGTATTGCTGACATTATTGTTTTGGAAAATCGACGGCAAAAATAAATTTCAACTAAAACTTTCAAATTTTAGTTTTAAACGTCAATCATAATGACAATAAAGCGTGGCTTACATTGACATATTTTGAACTACCTATCATAAATTTGATGTCCAAAATTCCGTGTCTGCCAGTGTATGAATAATTACTTCAATGCATAAATACGTATGTGTTTTTTTATTACTTAATGCTCTTTGTTGCTTTTAATAAAAACCAATTAAATTCTTAATTACTTAGATACATACCTGCATATTTTATTATCAAAGAAATTGGCAAAATAAAGAAAGAAAAAGCAAAATAAACAAAAAATTTGGCGTCATAGTTGACGGTGATATGAATGTTTTGTGAACGGATCACAATTTTTAATACGCCTAGCAAGGTGTCAAATGTCAGATTAATAATAACTTTCAATACGATGGTTTGTTCACAATCAACTTTAGCTTTAACACCCGTTACTTAAAAATCGCATTCAACATTATTTCCTTATTATGTTCAAGTTTGAGACCGGACACCCGGTATAGTAGCGCCGTTATAACATTTGGTTTGTCCCACTAACATTAAATAACCAATCACAGTTAAAGTATAATTTAATAATTATGATGTACAAAAAGCGAAATTAAAAACAAATCGAAATTAAAATTTACCTAATCTAAATCTTTAAAATTAATGCCAAAATCACTGTCATCATCACTTTCCCCCAATTTTATAATAATTAAATTTTCCAAAACATTTTATAAAACTGTCAGCCTAACTGTCAAAATATAAAAAATCAAAAATTTATAAAAATTTTCAATTGAAATCTAACCGCGTTGGAGACATTTTATTTGCTGTTAAGAAAACCAATGGGCGGAGCAGATAAGTATGGTTGAAAATCAAATTTTATGACATGGTAATGCTGTGTCAGCCCATTATTTACCAGTTGTGTTTTCTCCAAATCTCTTTTTAATCTCACTGTGATAATGCATTACTTTTCTCATCTTTAATTAATACAATACGACCATCCTGGACTTATAATAATACACAACTCTTTACGCAATACCAAAAATTTGACCTCTTTTGTGACATGATTAAAAAAAACGACAAGTTGAGGTCATGAATAAAAGACGTTGTGAGCAATATTTTTTTAATTCATGGCCTCCTCTTATCGCTTTTTTTATATTGTATTCTATAGTATGTTCCCGGATTGGGTTTATAAGAGGAAAATTTTTTGCTTCACCTGAAACGGTCAAATCTGTAATTAAAACTTTATTATTCTGACTCAGTAGAAAGAACAAAGAAAAGTTTATTTTTGTCTTGATTTTGGACTTTGAATGAATTAACTGTCAAAGTGATATAGAGCTGTTAAATAAATAAAACCGCCAATGCTAAAAAGCAGAGAAAAAGTCCAAAAACAAGAAAAAAATTAACTTTTCTTTTTTCTGAATAAGAATAATGAAAAGTCGTACTTTCTTGGACTGTGATTGGTACGAGCAAGGTTATGTAAAATGTGAAAATTCTGTTTTTTATAGTGAGGTAATTTTATTAATACTTAATATCTTGATACCTTCTAAGTTGCCTACATTTTAAAATTCATATTTTTTTAATTTCCTTTTCATCTGTATCTTGCCCACATCCGATACATTACCATACCATGATTGAGAAAATTTATTCTATAGAATAAATATGCCCACATACGATATATTACCATATTATGATTGAGAAAATTTATTCTATAGAAGGCAATAATATGACTTTGTTTCTTTCTATACATTCACAATTCACAACTTTCTAGAGGATACATTTTTAGATCATATGGTATTTAAGGAGCATGTAATGATGGCCATTATTTGCAAAGATAAAATTTAGAAAAAGAGCGGAATTTGAGTTATGTAATCATCTGAGTGAATAATAACTTATACAGGGTGAATATAAAGTATGGAACCAAGCGGTTTTATTTTTAATCATTTGCCTCCAGAAAATAATAATTAATATAAATTAAAGTAATATAAAAAATCTGATCGTATTTTCAGAACAAAATTTTGTTTTGTTTTTGAGTTATGCGCTATTTTTTTGTCAAAATTGCAATTTATGTGAAAAAATTTTTTTTTGATAAAATTAAATATAAAGCAGATAGTTGTAATCCTTAGAGTATAGCTTTTATGAGGAAAATGATTTTATAGTGGGTTGCCATTTAAAAAAATATTTTTTTTTGTAGAACTCAAAAACAAAAGGAAATTTCGAAAAATTTTATTCTTGTTAAATCATCACATTTTTATAGTACTTTATCACTCATCAATTAGTTTTTTCAAAAAATAAATAGTTTAAGCAAAAAACGTTTGGTTCCATACTTTTTATTCACCTGGTATGTATATGAATACTATAGCTTGTTCACAAATTTTAAATATTTTTGATTTTTGGTTCAATTTTTGGTATTGAAGAAGTTGTAGTTTCAATTTATATTTAATAAAAATGGCATATTGCGTCCAACTTGATTTAGATATGCAGTAATTATATGGTTATCATTTTTTTTACTCTGTAGGTTCCTCTTGATGTCACGAATGAGTAACACAAACTATCTTCCCAAACACTAAACGTTTTTGATTAGATCACATATAGCCTGTTTAAGAGGCGAATATCATTTGGACATTTGTGGTGAACCAAATTTATTGTTCGGCACTGTAATATCTTAAATAAGACGAAACAATTTTGTTTATAGCTATTAAGACAACAAGAGTTTTAAACTACTCCTATAAAATCTGGGTCTTTGTGGGTTAGACCGCGCCAATTTAGAAGAAAAGGTCGACGTTTCACCATAACTGTCCAGTTACCATGCTATAACTTCCCTCTTCTCTTCTTTTCTTGTTCTGAAGATGCCCCTTATAATAGCGGGCGAAACGTCGACCTTTTGTTCTAAATTGACGCAGTTTAACCCAAAAAGACTCAGTTTTCGACCTGACTCTGACCGCGAAAGCCTACCTTCTTACTCCTATAAAACTTATATTATCTTCAAAATACTAACATTGAATTAGAAATTTCACTAAATTCAAAAATTATTATAAAGAAATTTGTGAAATAACATCAAAATTAACAAAATATCAAGATAAGTGTATTTTATGTACCTACTTGTAAAATACGATGATTGACGACGCGTTTTATACACAGAAGAGCGTATAATAATGGCAACATAAGAGAAATGCTTAAGTTCACGTAAGATATTAGTGTTGGAAAAAAATTATTAAATTTATATACTTATTATATTTATTTAAATTTGCAAAAGCACCAAGGATAAACTTCCTAATCGCCAGTGTTACGTAATTGGACTAGAATTGACGTCAGAGCTTCTAGCGAAAAAACCACCCAAATACGAACAAAATAAATACGAAATTGTTAGTAAGCAAATTAAAAACTATTTTAAAATAAATAACTTTTCTTCATGCGTAAATGCTGTCCTTGACAGTCGCAACATTTTTTATCGTTGTACTTCACAGTGTAAAAGAATAAAAGCTTGGGAATTGTGGAGAATCCTTCTGACTATTCCACGCTCACAAACGGTATGTAATCACCGTAACAAATTGGAAGGTCATGTCTCAGCCCTTCCCGGTGACGTAATCGAACACATGCCGATTTGGCTTACGTCATCGCAAAGTCTGATGACGTCATCGTGAATCATTTAACAAGCGGTGGCACCAAAACGCGGATTTCATACAGGAATGTTTTGTTGAATGATTTTCTGTGTTAATGAGAAAAGTCAGATAGTGTATATGAAAATTACAAAACACTGAGATCTTTGTTTCATAATAAGGTTTATGCGTTTACGTGATCATTTGGCATATCTTTCGAACACAATAAATTGTCAGTTACACAGGACGCACTTATCATTTCATGCTAGATGTAATTGCACTCGCTGCGTAATATTATTGATTTTGATTTTATGTCTTGTGTAAAGGTAAACTTGAAATCAATCGACTCCAGTTTTTTTTCCAGAAGGAGCAAATATCACTGCGCCCTGTATTAGGCAATGGATGTTCAGGTGTATTACAAGTTGCCTGCCTGTGTCAATTACAAAAGTGCCCACATTGGTCAGTTGCCATTACCTTAGCCATTACCAGAGACGAGCCAAAACCCAAGTGCCAAGTTCCAAGAACATACAGGGTGAATATAAAGTATGGAACCAAGCGGTTTTATTTTTATTCATTTGCCTCCGGAAAATAATAATTAATATAAATTAAAGTAATATAAAAAATGTGATCGTAATTTCAGAACGAAATTTTGTTTTGTTTTTGAGWTATGCGATTTTTTTTTGTCAAAATTGCAATTTATGTGAAAAAAATTTTTTGAAAAAATTAAAAATAAAGCAGATAGTTGTAATCCTTAGAGTATAGCTTTTATGAGAAAAATGATTTTATAGTGGGTTGCCATTTAAAAAAATTAATTTTTTTGTAGAACTCAAAAATAAAAGGAAATTTCGAAAAATTTTATTCTTGTTAAATCATCACATTTTTATAGTACTTTAGCACTCGTCAATTAGTTTTTTCAAAAAATAAATAGTTTAAGCAAAAAACGTTTGGTTTCATACTTTTTATTCACCTGGTATGTCGTTGCATACACGATGAATAAAAAGTATGGAACCAATTCTTTTTTTTTTTTTTCGTAAACTAACCACTTTACGAAAAAAATAATTAGTGTAGCGTAAAGTACAATTAAAATGTGACAGTTTATCAAGAATAACATTTTTCGAAATTCTTTTTAAATTTTAAGTTTTGTAAAAAAAAATAATTTAAATAGCAAACTATTGTTTTTTAAATAAAGACTATGATCTAAAAATGACTTCTAATTAAATAAAATTATATTCTAACCAGTAGCTTTTTATAATAAATTCTTCAAGTTCTGTACATATAAGTTCCGAGCTCATCACGAAGATTTTCCGAATTGGTCGTTTCATGCATTTGGTCTGTGGAGAGCCCGGTTTTTTGTGCAAGTGCTTTGGGGTGGTTCCGGTTGTATCAAAAACTTTTTTTTTCTATTTTTAGTGAATCTGTAACCACTCAAAGTATCTGCACAGAAATAAGGGCCCTCTCATGATCAAATGCATGAAACGACCACTTCGGCTGCCGTTGTCGATTGTCGTAGCTATACGCCGAATACAATACAGGGTGCGCCAGAACTCGCGCCCCAGAGAAAATTTTCAGGTAAGATAAGATAAGAAATCAGGAACATGGAAAAAATGTTTAAAAAATTCTATTTGTCAAAAATTTTTGACATTTATTTTTTTACATTTAACAACAGAAATAAACAGAGTCAAAGTGCAAAATTTAAACTCTCATAACTTCGAAATTTTTATAGATAGAATTTTTTAACATTTTTTCCATGTTCCTGGTATCTTACCTTACATGGCATTTTTCTCTGGGGTGCGAGATCTGGCGCACCCCTGTATAATGAGAGTTCCTAATAATACGAAATCGAGTAAGTACTTTCCTACCTATAATAAATAAGTGTTTTATTAAAAAAATGTAGAAAAAAGGCCGTATTTGAGTCGTACATAATCACTGAGATAATTTATACACTCGCCGTTGGTTCGTGTATAAACTTCATCCTCGTGAATTATATTATCAAGACTTTATATTCCTTGTTACTTAAATAATTACTCATTTATACAGGGTGAATATTAAGTATGGAACCAAGCCTCCACAAAATAATAATTAATACATATAAATTAAGGTAATATACAGAATGTGATCGTATTTTGAGAACGAAATTTTGTTTTGTTTTTGAGTTATGCGATTTTTTTTTTCAAAATTGCATTTTTTTTTTAATTAAATATAAAGTAGATAGTTGCAATCCTTAGATCATAACCTTTATGAGAAAAATGGTTTTATAGTGGGTTGCCATTTAAAAAGATTACAAATTTTATAGATTTCAAAAACAATAGAAAATTTCGAAAAGATTTTATTCTTGATAAAACATCACATTGTTACAGTACTTTATCATTCATTAATTAGTTATTTCAAAAAATAAATAGTTTAAGCAAAAAACGTCTGGTTTCATACTTTTTATTCACCTGATATGTTGGTAACAAGGAGCTTAGATGGACTATCATCTAACCTCCTTGGTTGGTACTATGTAGTCAGGGCCGGAGTGCAAGGGGTGCACGGTACTCGTGCGGCCAAATTTTGAGGCAGCACTCTGAACTATTAAATATGTCTTTTATATAAAAACAAAAAAAAATTGTTTTTATTTTATTTTTTTAAAAATATTGAATTTTTAGAGAAACACGTGAAAACGATTTGCAGAGGTTCGGCAATTCATTCCGGTTGAGGTAGTGGAAGTATACGAAAGAAATTAAGTGACAGTTGATTTCATAAGAACCAAAGGTAAGACACAATTTGTGTGTTTATCTTTGGAGTAAAAAATGTTGAATATTTTAATAAATTTGTGTTTTTTTTTCATATACATATGGGTAATCAATCAAAAACTGTTTATTTGTACAATAGTACACACACCAACATTTTATTTAATTCAATTTATTTTTCTTAGTTCTTTTTATGATAAAATGCATTAAAATTACGAAAAAAAGCTTAAAATTAATCATAAAATATTAAGAATCAATAACTGAAAAATCCGTAAAACTTTGTTTTCCTAACTTTGCACGTATTAGTATTATCGTATATCTTAATTGCACAGATGTCTGATGGGAGAAAGAGACTTTCTGGTTTCCAAAATCGCAAATGAAAATTGTAAAAAAAGGACCAGTTGACACAAGACAGGTTGTCAGATTTACCTAGTTATACTTAATTAGTATTGAAAATGAAATTGATTTAGACGTAACTGATATTGTTAGACATTTTACTATTAAAAAAGCAAGGAAAATTGAATTTTGAGGTTTTATTTTAATTTTGTTATTTTTTGTTTAACTTTATCACTGTTTTGTGATTTAATAATAGAATAAAAACAACTAAAAATAAAAAACTGTAATTTGTGTAAAAAATGACAAGGGCGGCAATTAAAACTTTGTATGTAGTTTGTAATTTGGCACGAATAATTTTCAATTCATTATTGTCTCTTAAAATACAAAAACTGAAATCGCTGTGTGACAGCGTTCCGGAGAGAACTTAAACTGGTTTTTCTTTTAGTTATCCAGTATTTTTATCCAAACGGCCTAATACCGGCTAAAATATGTATTTTTTTGTTTTTTGTTCTACAAAAGATGTTCAGAAATTTCAATTTAAATCAAAGTAGTTCAAATCTTAGGAGAATAATCAATTAATATTCAGTTCTATCCATACTTATTGGCAAACCCGTATATGAGTATTTATTATGAATTTGCGAAAGTTACATCAACCAGTTCTCAAGCAGTTCAATTTGTTTGACAACACTTGTTTTAGCTGTTCCTCCGATTGCTTTGTATTGTTCAATACTATGTTCATAGTTCCAAACTCTCCCAATGTCCACATCAAAGAATGAACTAATATTTTTCAGTTCTTCTAATGTTAAATCACATATGGATACCCCTTTACGTTCCGCTTCTGCTACGACTTTTCCTGCCAAAAAGTGAGCATCCCTAAATGGTACACTTTTTCGTACCAGATAATAAGCCACGTCTGTAGCTAACATTTCAAAACTTAAGGCATTTTTACATTTATCTTGGTTAATCTACAACTTTCGAATTATTTTAACGAAATAAAGTTTTAATTCTAGTACTTTAAGAGTTTTGACCGTCCCCGTAGCTACTTCTAAAATAGATTTTAATTTGTCAAAAGTAGTAAACATTGCTTCTTTGTCATATTGCAAATCTTTGTTATAAGTCGAGGGTAGACTTTTTAGAACCATCATGAAGCTACAACACTGAATTATTTTCAAATTAATTTTAATAAATGCGTATATTCAATAGCTTACTTGTCCAAATAAACTTCCTCCAATGCCTCGAATCAACTCAAGACTATCAGGATTTCGTTTTTGGGGCATTAAACTACTCCCGGTGGAGTAAGTATCATCGATAGTTACAAACTCGAATTCTTTTGAACTGTATAGAATAAGATCCTCAGCTAGGCGACTCAAATGTATTCCAACCATAGACGCCCAAAACAAAAATTCGGCTAAAATGGTAACCAAATTTTTGCAAAACTTATAAAATAAGTTGATAGTTACCGATAAAATCACGATCGCCCACTGCTTGCATGCTATTTTGGGTAACGGAGTCAAAACCCAGCGACGACGCTAAATTCGTTCTATCTACATTAAAAGGGTTTCCGGCTAACGCACCGCTTCCCAAAGGCATTATGTTGATAAGTTTGACAATGTCGTCCAATCGATCGCAATCTTTTTTAAGGTTCCAAGCATGGCTTTAATGATCATAAATAAAACAGTATTACACCATCTGCAATCTACCTACCTCAATAAATAGTGACTCCATCGCACAGGTTGTGCTCGTTGCAAGTGGGTATAACCAGGCATCATTATGTCAATCTCGTGTGCAGATCTGGTGATAATCACTTTAATCAAAGATTTCACAATTTTGTCTAAATCCTGCAAGTGCCTTCTGAGCCATAGTTTCATATCAGTAACCACTTGGTCGTTTCTACTACGACCAACGTGAAGCTTGGTGGCTGGTTCTCCTATAATTTCCTAACAACAATTTCGAGCATTAATGATGATTACTTTCTAAAACTTACTTTAAGGCGTCGTTCATTGGCAGTGTGTATGTCTTCATCTCCTTCTTTTGTCTCAAATAAATTTTGGTCCCATTCGATTTTAACGCGATCAAGGCCTTTGCAAATAAGAGAAGTTTCATGCTCTGTTAAGAGATTAATTTTTTTCAGAGCTTCAGCATACGCTTTGCTGCCTTCGATGTCTTCAGCATACATCCGTTTATCGAAAGTGATAGAAGAGTTCAACTTTTCTAAATTTGGGTCAGTCGATGTGGAAAAACAACCACCCCATAATTTTTTATGTTCCTTAAACATATGGGAGATTTTAAAATGATAAATTTTAAGATTTGCTTACTTACCATTCTGTTTAATTTGTTTTCATTTATGAGTTGTATTAATAAGATACAGTATTTAAATATTATTATGCAATCTCATCGCCTCTTATCTAAAAGTTAAAGAAATATTTATTTGTACGAGAAATATATTAAATGTTTGTTATAGTAAGACTTTATTGTAACATACCGCATTTAGTTAGCGTCTTTCCATTAAGAATTATAGAGTTTATAAACTAATTAAATTAAGAATGTAAGTAAATACCCCCAGCATTGTTTTAAATAAGATTTTTGTGACCCTTTGACCACCTTTTGCGTCACAATAGTTAATAGCCACATTGATAAGATAAACGGTAATTATAAGAACGTGGAAGATTTCTGGAATTGTAAACAACATTCTATTCTTGAAATTTACTATAAGTCGCTATATTTTACACACTTAAAAAAATTATTTGGAGTTGAATTGTTGAATTTTAGAGCATATTTTTACAGCTTTACAGGTTGCTCCAGAACTCGCGCCCCAGAGAAAAATATTAAGTAAGATAATATACCAGGAACATGGAAATTTTTTTTACATTTATTTTTTGACATTTACCATTTTTTATGTTTATTTAATGATACTGATGATCTTGTATATGTTTTTTTTACAATTATTCAGTAAAGGTACAAAAATTTTGTCAATAAAAGCCACAAATAACATTGAGCAGAGTTAGAATTTAGGATACAGCTTCCTTATTTCCTCTTATAATAGCCTCTAGCAAAAAAACTTAGAAAATTATTTTTCCAACAGAAATAAATAGTCAAAGTGCAAAATTTAAACTCGTATAACTTCGACATTTTTATAGATAAAATTTTTTGAAGATTTTATCCATGTTTCTGGTATCTTACCTTATATGGCATTTTTCTATGGGGTGCAAGTTCTGGTGCATTCTGTATAGTAATATATCGCAGACGAGCTACCTACATGATTTTAAAGAAAGCTCTTTAAAATTTGTTTAATTTCTTGTGTGGACCACATCACAAGAAACTAAACAAAAATAGGATTGTATTTATTATACCATATTTATTGTTAACATAATTATTGATTTATTAATTAATTCATTATAAATTTTTTGTTTTATTAAATGACTAAAACGAGACCTTGAGTTCAATAAGATTGTTCGTTTAAAAACTTATTGTTTCTTAGAAATTATATCTACAAAACGGCCGATACAAATTCTTAAAAAAATCTATAACTTATAAAAATACGCGTACCTACTTGAATGAATACATGTTTGTAAGAAAAATACAAGCATAAAAGCTTTAAAAATATCGTGAAGTCAAGGGAGCAGAGGGCCGATTTTTAAGAAAATGATGAAAGCAGGTTACAAACGCTTACACCCCGTTTCACCTCGTTGAATTTTTGACTACACCATCAAAAATCAAAATTTTAGATTTTATGTTTATAATTTCGTTTAAATATTTGCACCCTATTTCATCCCGTTATAGGTTGGTTTTTGAAAAGTGCCTAATTAGTGCACTTCACTCCCTAAGAATTATATTTTCCAAATTTCATCTTCGTTTAAACGTGTACACCCCATTTCACCCCCTTAGAAACTGATTTTTAAAAATCTCGTCTTAGTGCAGCTTTACATCCGCCAAAGAACATATCTTCCAAATTTTATTTTCTATCTTTGTTTAAGTATTGACAACCCATATGAATATATTTTCAAAAAAAACTTTCCGTAGTGTTCCTCTACACCCTCCAAAGAATATGTTTCCTAAATTTTTTGTTTCTGTCTTCGTTTAAATGTTTACACCCCGTTTCGCCCCCGTAAAAATTGATTTTCAAAAAATCCTTTCTTAGCGGACCTGTACACCCTCTAAAAAACATATCTTCTAAATTTCATGTTTCTATTTTCGTTTAAACGTATACACCCCTTTGTTAAGGGAGTATACTTATTACTTTTTTAAATTCTCGTCTTAGTGCACCTTCACAACCGCTAAGGAACAAATTTTCCCAAGTTTTTGTTTCTGTCTTCGTTTAAAAGTTTACACCCCACTTCATTCTCTGAGTGATTGATTTTTGAAAAATCCTTTGTTACCTAATTTTCATGGGACTCTCATATTTACCTATATAGATAATAATAATAATAAGAGAAGTGGAATAAATAAACAATGTAGAATAAAAATCATATAAACAATTTTTTTATTATGTAAAAAGCGAAGTGTACAGCACCACGTCGCTCGCATAAATAATTAAACAGCAAATACAGCCCAGAAATTGACAACTCCTTCCCTATCTCATGCATGCGCACGATGCATCACAGCGAGAAACTACCGAGAATTTTGAAAGGCACACGATAAACTTAAAACCCTATTTCACCCCTTTAGAGAATGATTTTCAAAAAACCTCTTCTTAGCGAACCTCTACACCCTCTAAGAAACGTATCTGCCAAATTTCATGTTTCTAGCTTGTGTGGTTTAGGCTGTGCGTTGTCTGTCAGTCACTCTTTTATATATACAGGGTGCGCCAGAACTCGCGCCCCAGAGAAAAATGCTATATAAGGTAAGATACCAGGAACATGGAAAAAATGTTAAAAAAAATTTATCTATAAAAATTTCGAAGTTATGAGGGTTTAAAGTTTGCACTTTGACTATTTCTTTCTGTTGGAAAAATAATATTCTAAGTTTTTTTGCAATAGGCTATTAAAAAAGGAAACAAGGAAGCTGTAGCCTAAATTGTAACTCTGTTCAATGTTATTTGTGGCTTTTGTTGGCAAAATTTTTGTACCTTTACTAAATAATTGTAAAAAAACATATACAAGATCATCAGTATCATTAAATAGACATAAAAAAATGTCAAATGTCAAAAAATAAATGTCAAAATTTTTTGACAGATAGAATTTTTTTCATGTTCGGTTGGAGACAAAATACTTTGGTCGTCAATGTCACTTGAATGACATTAAATTGTAAAGCATGCTTTAGGACTGTTAACCTTATTTTTAGGTACTGTCAATCATAGTTGACAAGTTGTATGTACATACTTTTGAAAGGAAAATATAATAGCTGTCATTAATTTAATATTGTCATTCATTTTAACGTTAAAGCTTGAATTACATTAAAGTGTCAGAAAAGTGACGACCAAAGTATTTTGTCTCCAACTGTTCCTGGTATCTTATCTTACTTGAAATTTTTCTCTGGGGCGCGAGTTCTGGCGCACCCTGTATAGATAAGAACTACCAAAATATTTTACCAAACATTTCTTCTTTGGTTAGATAAATCATAACCATTAAAATCTTAAAATTAACATTTGACGGTTATTACCTACGAATTTTTTCTATATTTATTAAAGAAAAATTTTAATAAACATTGCATAGTGTTTTCTGAATATAGTCTTAGCTTTGTAATAGAATGTATGTTTGTGAAGAATAATTACATATAAGTTTCTGAAATGAAAAGAACTAGACGCATAATTAATAATCATTTAATTAATAAAACATCACAAAACCAAAGCAGTTTAAGATCACAATTATTTCAGAAAGTTAAAAATAAATTACAAATGTATTAAATAATACATGTTAAGTATAAAGTAAGCAAAACTCACATGTTATTAAACGCAAAGTCAAAACGATTGTCTTTGCCATTAAAGTAAATTAATTGAAAACATCGAAATGTTTTAAACCTAACGTTTAGGAACTTACATGCTAATACGGCAGGAATATTACACTCATATTCGTATACTAAATTTAAATAATATACTGAACTAACTATAAGAGAAAGCAGACGATTTACTGGATTCATCCTTTAAGTAGCTCGGAATTTCTTGGTTTTTCCTCTGCTCGGTGGCACTTTTTTATATTCCTGAAATAAAAATTCAAATTAACACAATGTATTACGACTTGTTGGTCACACAAAAAAAAGTATTGACATGACTCATTAACAAACTAGCGAAAATTATAAAATATATTTAACATGATGTCATGACTTTAGTAAGCTTCACGTTCACAGCCATTAATTACTCTACATGAGAAGTATCTACAATAAGTCCTACGCTAGGTACAGGTTCGACTCAAGTTATGGTACCATTTGACTACAGCTACAGTGACAATGGTACTTACATGTTAATCAGTGAGTTAAACTATGATTCTGTCCATATTTTTTTAGCAAAGTATTAGTCGGCTACAAGATTAGTCAAAAAAAACCGAAAAGTCTACTGGTACTAATGAAAGTCATTTGCTACCTAGCGTAGTTCTAATTGTCAAGAACATAAACATGGACACTCGTCAGGTTGTTCAGTGTGTACATTTCGACTTCTAGGTCTACAAACAGGTACATACGCTGTAGAAATTCGATGGTTTGAGATCTCACGGGTTGAAGCTCCCTTCTTCGGTTCACTTTTATAAGATGCTCCTAAAATAATGAAATTAATTCGATGTCATATGGACACATTCAACGTACCCTTGATAGTTTCTTTTTTTGTTGTTGTTGGTGGTACTCTCTTTTTTACTTCTTCAGTTCTGCTTCTGCTTCTGTCGCGACTAGACTTTTCCGCAGTACTTCTAATGGTCGACACTGCCGTTTTATGGCGAATTTCCGTCACGGGTTCCACCCTGCAATAAAATTGTTTGTAGTACAACTAACTCGACATTTTACAATCATACTTTTCGTCTGTTTTTGTTTTACGCCTAGGTGGGTTAGGAGGCGTTGATTTTTTACTCATTTCTATGCCATTGCTAACAGTTAATTGCGTTTGTTTAGTTTTTCTAATTTGTCTAGGTTTACGTTGAGGAATTTCGACATTCGCTCCTAAATCTTCAGATGAACTACCATGCGACTGCAGTAAAGCTTCTCTACTACTGGCCCTTTGTAATCGTCGAGCTTTTGTTGTAGCTCTAGTGGTGGGTTCATTAACTGCGTTTTTCTTTCTGATTGGAACTGGGCGTATCTGTTGCGGTTTTCGGCCTCTTGATAAACTTTCAACCGAAGAAGTAGATGATGTGTGTTTTAGTTTTGTTTTAATGTTAGATTGTTTGCTTGGTGTTTTAATTTTCTTATCCTGGCTCCATGATTTGCTCTCAGTTATTGTAGCTAAAGGCTCCTTAAAGGTGTTTTCATGTGAATCGTCATCAGTGAATCCATTAACAGCTAATAAAATTTGATCGGCTGCTTTTGTTAGTTCTTCAAGTATGTTACTATCAAACTCTTTTCCAACACGGGATTTGTTTTTTGCAACAACATTTTCATAGATGGGTTGACTTCTTTCCGGTGATCTAGTTCTACTTTTAGGACTATCAGTTTTCATGTGTTGTAAGAGATCAGGTTTTTCAGACAATTTTGTTTCCCTATGTATCACAGATTCTTGGCTTTTTTTCAATGATTGCGGCGAAACCCTCACTCCGAAATAAGTCATTTCAGATCTTTTAGGTTGTCTTAGTACTATGTCGTTAGAAGAGTGTTTTTGATGAAGTTTTGTATCTGTAACATTTGCAAATTCTTTGTTTTCTACTTTATATTCGTATTTGTCTGTGCGAAGATCTAACTTTGAACTGCGACCGACTAATGATGGACTTGATAATTCATTTGTTGCACTTTTCAAATCAGTTCGTTTCGCAAGAGAACTATTCTTACGAATAGCAACTGGAGAATATTTGTTATCTTTAGATTTAATTCGGTAAGTTTTTGATGAGGGTTCGTTTGACAAACTGTCTCCAATTCCAAATTTTTGCTTGGCACTTCCAATTAAATCGTCTGTAAACATGTAAAAAAATTAATTTTTTAGTAAAACTAAATGACAGATTTTTTTAACATAAATATAAAGCGCGTTAAATTGTCCTAATCAACAGGTACCTTTTTCTACTTTTGCACTTATTCTAGCACTTGGAAATTCCCGAGTTACGTTTGTCTTGTTAATGTGTTCGTTAAGCATTCTGCAAGCCCTCATTTTACTCCAACTTCCGGAGATTTCGCTCGTATTTTCGTCTTTGTCGTGTTCGAGATCCCTTTCGTTCATTCTTCCCATCAAAACTTGAACTTCCTTGTCCGCGTCACTATCACTTTGTACGTCTTCATACAGCTTCTTCAGTGCTTCGAGTTGTTGGGGAATATTAATGTGGTTTACTTTATTACAGTCGTTTTTAATAGTGTCTAGGACTAAAGAGGTAGACTTGAAACAGTGAGATCGTTTGGTTTGAGAAAGTAGAGGGGACTTTTTTATGTTAGTAGGGGATGGGCTTAGGTCTATAGTAATTTTCGTCGTGGTGGTTGTGCTTGAATCCTGAGAAGTTGTTTTGGAACAGACTGTATGTTTAGATGTGTCGTCTCTTCCTATTCTAACCACAAGTCCTTTGTTTAAAATTCTTTCCGAGTCTGCAATTTTCATTTTAATGAAGGTTTTTGGTTATTGATGGCAAGTCAGAAGAATGGTTAATCTACTTTTACAAAAGGCGCATGCAGAAATAGAATAAGGTACCTTCTACTGATAAATTTACAATGTCTAGTTTAATAAAAAATAATACTACAATGAATACACTATGTATTTACATTTTGATGAAAGTAGTTCCACAAATTTTTAACTATGTTCCTACATATTTTACAGTTTAGTAGAGACATGAGTAGAAGAAAGTAATTAGACTAGAAGCTTTCTACATGAGAAATGTTAAGTACCTTTAGTAGAGTTCTCCTTTTTACTCCACAACGTGTTTAGTTCTTTTTGTTTAAACTGATCATTTTCCACAACGGCTGTTCCACCATCACCAAAATTGACCTTGGTAGAATAAACCTTATTTTCTGCCCATTGACTGTCTTCACTTAATTTAACTCTATCAGCAACAGACCATGGTCTTCGATTATCTGTGCTCGTGACGAATTTTACACTCGAAAAATTTTCGGAATTTCTTTGATTGGACAGTAGATCCGGTTTGTTCCCACTGGCTGGTCTCAAATTCCTTAACAGCTTTTGAAATTCAGGTTGTTCATCCTGAGCAAAAACCGTATTATGCAACGTAACTGTTGATTTCCAATATGGAGGATCACTCTTTTGAACCGGCTTGAGTCGAACTCCCCATTTGCCACTGTCACTGTCGGAATTGCTATTCAAAAAGTGATCCTCGCCGAGGTGGTACGGAGTGGGCTTGATCGGTTTGTTTTTTAAGATGCCTTTCACATTTTCAATAGCGTCTTTTTTATCGTCTTCTTGAGGATCCACCGGATTTAGTGTTGTGTTAACAGTAACTGTCCCGCATGAAATGCTAGAATGCGTGTTTTGATAAATATTTTCATCTGTTGATGTTTCAAAATTGTCCTCGTCGGCCACACCCAGTAAGACTTTCTCGTATGAAGTATCTCCAAAATGTAAAACGGGCAAGCCGTTTCTTTCGAAATCGTCGCTTACTACGGGACCGGAATTTCTTCTCCTTCGTCGAAAATTGTTGGTGGGTGGTGGCTTTTCATCAGTTTCAACAATGTTTACTTTTCCAGATTCGGCAGCAAAGTGTACTTCTGTTTTGCAAAACTCAACCTTCTTTGATTTTCTGTTCTGTGCGGTGACATCATCCAGTGCAGGGTTGATTGCTAAACTGGTTCGTCTAAATTTATTGTCATGGTGGTTTGAAACGTATTTAGATTCATCAACAGCGATTGAGTGACGTTTAATTTCTTTTTCTGGTACGTCATCCCAACATAAATCGACAACATTGGAATTTGGTTTCGATACTATGGGTATAGTGATCGTTGTTGATTTTAAATCTTTATTATAACCTTGGTCAAAAATAGAAGAGATTTGTTTAACACTAGTGAAAGACTTTTCATCACAGTTTTCTGGTTTTGTAGTTGTTGGCACGATGACTATTTCAGAGGATCTGCAAATCCCACTGTCTGTTGAAGATTCAACCCGTCCTCTGTTTTTAAGTGATATCGGATTTGAAGTTTCGTTATGATTGTGGACTTGTTCAAATCCGTAAGATTTGCGCCGGTTATACCAGTCTTCATTCCGAAGATTTGTCCCACCGTTGAGAAGTTTTGTACGAGATTCTAAACTACCAGTACCCAAGATGGGTTTTTTGTTCATCATTGTTTCCATACCGTAAACGTATGAACGAACCCGCGATTTTTCACTAACTGGCATCTCGATTTCTTCAGTAACTATACCGTCATCAGTCTCTTCTTCTTTGTTAATCTTATAAATATCTTCAGTTGATGAACTCGTGCGTCTGAGACGACCTCTCACTTCTTGAAGGGTCTCAACAGTGACAAAAGAGTTACGTTTTTGTTTTTTCGTGTCGGATTCGTCTTGGCTATCCTCCGGTTTGTCCGACTGATTACTACTGGAACTTGAAATTGTTTGTAAAATCTGATCTAAGGCATGAAGATCGACACTATTGCCTCTTAGAGCTGTGCTCAGTCGTCTTCCTTTTTCAAGTTCCTCGCGAATTTTTCGCACACTTCCGCTGTTTTCCGGTAAATCTGTTGGTTTAACAGTTTGCGGTTTGGTTTCTTTAGGATATTGAAGAGACCGCCGTAACTTGGATGTTCTTCGCCAGCTTTGTAACTGCTCCAAATCTTCAAGATCCTCAATACTTTTTGATGATTTATCTTCTAAATGTAAATCTTCGCTGCTTGTGCTTTTCGTTCGTGTCAAGTTTTGATGATCGTTGATTTCGTTTTGTCGTTGAATCGTCTGTTTGACTGTTTCTTCGTGGATTTGATGGCAGAGTCTGGATACGCGATATAAATTCTGTTGGGCGGTCCTTAAGGAATCGTCTCTACCTCGCGGTCGTGAAGGTGGCCGCCTACCGACACTTCTTCCTACGTTTGCTTTGGATTTTTGCGAAGTTAAATCCAGTGGGTTTAGCGAGAGCTGCAACATGACTAACATTCACAACTTTCATTAAACATAATAAACAAACAGAACTGACCTGGAGGTTTTCAAAGTCTTTGATTGGGAGTTGCTGCAAGTCTGCCGATTTGTTGCTCCACCGACTACTCGAGACAGACTGGGTTTTGATGACTTGTAGATGACCCCCAGGGATCTGGCTTTGGAACACTTCCAGTTGCCTCCTCGCCTGTTGTTGCAATGCACCGTCCGCGTTGGTTCGCGCTCGCGAATCTACTACCTGCAACAACGAAACGATGACGATAATTATCATTTGGTGAAGGTTACTCATCACACTGCACATGTATGGAATATGCATCCGATTCAAACTTTTTTCCGACAAGTTTTATAGAAATTTTGAACGTAATTGCACGGCGCCGATTTTGATGTAAATGTCACTTGCTGTTGTAAGGACAATCAGTTCACTTACGTAATACTCTTTCGACACACCCGCTGCACTCAGGAAATCCAACCATAAATACATAATAATAAAAATTGAAGTTGCAAATAATGAACGTTTAACATTGAACTACTTGAAGATAGTGAGCAGTGTACCATCACAGCCTTGTGTTAATTACAGAAATATGTAAGACTGTAAGGTTGATGTAAACAGATAATGGGCAGGTTACTCAAGACCTTCGCGCTTGTTGGCACCGGCTAATTTAGATTAGTTTGTTGTTCCTGCTCCCAGACGCTAGTGTTAATCAATTTATGATGTTTTTCGATAAGGGGTTGTTTTTTTTCTACTTGAACAAAAGTTGTTTGAAGCAAAAGTTAAATTTTTGTAATGGTAAGCAATCAATACATTTTTTGATGTTCTAAAAAACATTATTCTTTAGAATAAACTAGAATTGAGGAAGATCAAACATTATACAAAGTTTTATTAAATTTAAAATTCCGCAAGCTAGCATCAACGTTCAACGCTAATGTTTGACGCACCAAACATCGAAATTGTAGAACTGGAAGTATGGATTTTGATCACTGCTTGTGTTAGGAGAGTCGGTGTTATTTGCAAGATTGCATAGATAACCCAATACTTTGTCTTTAATTTTGAAGCATGAATCAACATTCTTCTCGACGAATCACCCGTAACAGTGAAAAAATGCACAGTACCGCTGTGTAATGACCCAACGTTAAATCGTGAAAATTTTCTTGAAGGGCGGAAAAAGTAATTGGCTGTTCATCCGGAACTCATGACACAATGAAATTAATAAAACTCACGTCAGGTGTCTAACAATCGACTTTTGGAATTAAAGTGAGGTAATCAAGTGTCGACAATAACAAAACATCACTTATTAAATATTTAAACAGCGTGCGGATGTATCCGAGCAATTCTATACCAAAATCTCACCATTTCCAATTTTTGTAAAATACATAAAACACATAAAAATAAAACCCACGTTTTGTAGTTTTTAATTATTAAAAAAATACAGCACTTCAAAAAAAACTCAAGTTATTTAAATTACTGAAAAATAGCTACGAGTATGAAATATCTATGAACTGTCCACTAGAATTTTTTAAATTTTTCGTAACGTTTCTAAAGTGTTTTAAAAAAACTGTACAAGGTGTAACAAAAATGAACATCTTAGCTTATCTATTTTCACATTACCACAGGAGTACTAAAAAAAATTGTTTTAGTATTTCATGACAACTCTTTAATCCTTATTACCTATTATAAAGCAAATAGTGTCTCCCACAATATGACGGCGCACAGATCGTGTACAATATAGGGTGTTTCGTTTTTTTTGTTACAAATTTAAATACATAGATGATAGAATATTCGATTTTAAGACAAAACTTTCCTATAAGTAAACATGTTTCAAATTATGCGATGTAAGGGAGCTACACCCCCTAAAAGGGGTGCGTCGTTTTTTAAAGGGTTTTTTCCAATATTTCAGAATAGATAAAATTACAGGTACAGCTGATAACCTTTATACACTTAAACAAATTCCTAGTTTAGGAAGCCCCTGATTAAAAATTTCAACATTTTATCTTTGAATTCGTTTAGGTGTATAATAGTTATTTATTGTAGGAGTGTGTTTGGTAGCGTTTTATCTACGCAAGAATGTTTAACCGCGAGAACGTCAGTTCGACCGGTTAATTTTCTTAAGTGGATAAAACGCGACTAACACACGACTGCAATATAACGTTTTAACCACAATCACAGGCCCAAATTATTCCAAACTTAATTAAAAATTAAACTGCCATTTAAACGTCAAATGTGCTTTCGGTTAAACGTAGTAAGCTATTACGCGGTGCGCTGGTTACTAACAGTAGAATAAAGTTACTTTATTCCACTAGTGGATAGACTGGTACTTGATACGCATCTAAAGTGTGGAATAAAGTCTCTTTATAGAGTGATTGTGGATAAAGGTTCTTTATCATCTGTACCAAATTTTGTAATTTTATCTAAAATGGTTTCGGAAAAATTAAAAAACCCATCAAAAGACGCACCCCTTTGAGGGGGTGTAGCTCCCTTGTGTAGCATTTTTTCATATATGTTCATAAGAAACTTTTGTCTTAAAATTGAATATTCTATCTCCTGTTTAAATGTGTACCAATAAAAACGGAACACTCTGTATATTAGCATTTCACAGTATTTTTTGTGCATATAACTTGAATTTTTTTGCTATGTGTTTTATTTTCTGTGTAGGTTTTACTGGTTTTAGATATGTTAATAAACGATTTACAACGTGTAGTTCTCGCTAAAAATTTATTTGGGGCTATTTTCAAAATACCCATTCCGAAATTTTTTGTTAGCGATTTGTAAATGTGCAATTATTTGCTGATTTTTTCATCTAAATAATTAGCTTGGCATTATTATTTATTTAAAACAAGTATTCTACTACATACGTAATGAAGACCTTTTTAAGTTCATGATTTGTGGAATATTTATTTTTTGTTTGATGTGTTTTTTATCTAAATTTCTTAAAAATTTCGTTTAGACATGTAATTACTCATTCATTGACTCCTTGAGAATTTTCTTAAAAGCATGAAGAACAAATTTTCACCCACACACCCTGGTTCCCTCGTATGAAGTTGATGTATCGTTGTAAATAACTAGACAGTTGTTTAAATGGATACGTGTATTTACATAATTTTGTAATAAAGTATTATGCAACTGAACAAATCCGTGGAAGCTGCTTAATCTCGTTTATTATCAGGTGCATTACATGTCATTATTGCGTTAATCTCGGTACATCTCCTTGATTCTGAACAGGATATCTGTGAACTGGTTAAAGCGGCATGACCTTTTTTGGAGACTAGTCCAGGCGGTGCATTCCGGGACACCCACTGTTTACACTCGGCACTTTATCACCCATCTTGCTTTTTTCGTTTGAAGCTCACCCCGTGGACCTCGGATGGGTTGGTCGCTTGACGCATCGTCGGCCTCTCCAAACATGTGTGGTCTTGACAATCGCCGACTTTACGATTCCATCAATCAAACGCCACTTTTTGAAATATCTCATTTCCATTCCACCGTTAATTTTAAGTATATACGGCTCATATTAAGATAACTTCCAAGGCGAGGTGGGCGTGCGCCGCCCCCACAATGCTTTCGACAAATATTAGACGCAAACATATGGCACGGCGATAAACACGACGTGTGTAAATTCGTTTAACATTTTCACTCGTGGTACATTACAATTTCAAATATTACAAATTAAGACGGATTGCTCAAGCTTGGTAATAATACATGCGTGAAATGTGCATTGAGTTATCTAATTTTCTGAGCGTGCATCAGACTATGTTTACTTTCACTCTTGATCACCTACTGTCTTCTCTAACTGAGCTACCTACGGAGCAACTTTATCTAGATCCATGACTGTTCGCTTACACTCGACGAAAACAAAATGCGATTTTATTGCATAATTACAACCCTGTGCACATGAAGGACATGAAATATGGATGCGGTCTCTGCATGGAATGCTATCGAACTTTATGAGGGTCGTGGCGCACGTGATTCTTTTCGAATTCTTTAAAGCAATGACACTGGAACTTTGACCCTTTCGTATTCATGCATTTTCGATTCGTGGAGATACCTCCATCCAGTTTCCTTATTTGTTTTCGGATGATTGCCTATGTCAAAAGAAATTGATTGAAAACAAATTCTTTACAAAGAGACGCAATTTGCATAATGTGGCGGGCTTTCAAAAATAAGTTCATGTTGACACAACCACGCCTCTTTGCTTCTAACCTCCCAATATGGATTAGCTATTTCAAAATTCAATTACTAAGCCATCATGATTTACTCCATTCAACTTAGAGGTGTTGAAATTTGAAGGTGTTTGTCAAAATGTAAACTAAAACTAAATTAATTTTAAATGACTGATATCCACATTCACCAAAAACTAAGTATAACTAGTTGATTAGCTCTTTTTTTTCTTTATGGTTTAATAATTGTATTAGTCATTAGAATATTTTTATTTTCAAAAAATGTTACGGGTGACATGAAGATCAAAGAAATATTTTTCAACATGTCTATGTATTTATTCCAACGTCTCTGCAAAAAAACTCTCAAATTTTTTTTATTTTACAATAATTATTATTAATTGGTAGTTTTTAGGGCAATTTCAGGAGTAAACCTCCAACCACATAAACACAGCAGACCTGAAATAAGATAAGGATGAGGTCTTTTTGTTCGATTGATTTTTCTATTTTCTTTTTATAAATTTTACATATACATATTAAAAGAGAGCATTAATTTATTAATTCTGTAATCAACAAATGCTGAAATTTTCTTTACAGTTTTCAGATTTCTTGTCTTAAATGATCTACCAAACTTTGAATCATTTTCAATCAATTCACGATTCCAAGTGAAATTGTTTGAATTAAAATTTTTGTTGAAAGTAACATTCTCACCATTTACTGAAACATCTTGTTGAAGGATTCAATTTAGCCAGACTTCTGTGTTCACGGGTTTTTCACTATTCAAACAGCTACCAAAAGAAAAACTTTGTATAAACATCAGAATCTGAATGACTTTATAAACAGTTCGGTAATGTAGCATTTTCTATGCTTTTTCAATTACATACTCTTATTTTATAAATAAAATAATAAATATGAGGTTTGATATACTTTTAGGATATTATAGAGGACACTTAACAACTTTTCCGAAAAATGGTAACCATATAATTTACTATAGTAGTGGCAGGGCCGTACCCAAGGG